GAAATAGTTGAAGGTGCTCATGACATTTCATTTGTTTCCGTACAACGTGATACAGTGCGTCGCTTGTGTGTTTCCTACCAGGTTTCCGAATTGGCACTGTTTTGCTTTGATACTGTTTGCCTTTTCTCAGCAACTTGTAATCGATATTATTGCGAATTGATCATTTTGAAGAGAAATAAGCAATCTATTCTTATCAGCTCTTGTATAATTACATCACTTTAAGTTGATTATTTTTTACTTTGTATTAATTTTCTTTATCTCGATTTAGTTTCTTGTCTTTTATCATTACTATCTTCTATAGTTGAAAATTTTTTTTAATCATTAGTTGATTAAAATTTTTTAAACACTTAATCTTTTGACGCATTTTTCTTAGCTCAACCATGCCTTTCACCGTTTACTTAGGTTGCAAAGAAAAAGAAGCAAACATGACAAGTTCTATTCTATTGAGAATATTTCAAATCCATTGGTTGTTATTAACAATTTACAAGGATTTATAACGCGAAGAAACGGAAATTAAATGAAATCGACAGTATTCCAGCAAAAACTAAAATCTGTAAAACGTGCTACAAATTAAGTAAAGCACCACACGTCTCAACCAATATCGATCCTAATGAACCTGACTTATCAATCCATAGAAAAGGACTCAGTTCTCACAATCGATGCACGAATATATTTTCTTGCAAGAATATAGATAACTTAGTTTTGATTCCAAAGAAAATTCGCTATGATCTAGTCATAAACTACAAATTCTTTGTTCCACATTATGCTCGCATGTATAATGAACATGTAGGCGTTAGTAACTACTGGCCACTCGTCAAACAAGGGTAAAAAGTTATACCTGAAGAACAAATATTAATTAGTGATCTTATGTACGAATATTTCCAAGGATCAAAAACAGAAAAATAAGTGGTCTTTGATATGGACAAGTTCGATTTTATTGATAATGATACATTTAAAACTTGGTTTGCTTATAATAAAAATCAATTCAAATAAATCTGCAGCTTTATTGAGATAAATAATCCGAAATATGTAGGTGTTCTCTTGTGTAAGTTACGTACTTCTCTCTCCAATAAACAATTATAATAGCTTTTTTGTTTGGAGTTAGCGAACGAACGATTGCTAATTATATGTATTTAGCAAGAAAAGATCTACTCGAGAATTTAGTTCCGAAATTCGTTAACAACAACAATCGTTCAGTATTAATCAATCACAATATTCCTATGGCGGAAATGCTCTTCGATATTTTGGATAATAAAGCTTGCAGTATATTTGACGCTACTTATAAACTCGCATAAAAATCAAAGAATTTTTCAGGACAAAAGCAATTGTGGAGTGAACAAAAAAATGCCACTCGTAAAACCTATGGTAGGATGTACACCTGATGGTAGGGTACTTTTTGTTCTTGGGCCATTTGATGCAAATCACAATGATGTGACTATATTAAAAGATTGCTTTAACAAGTTTGAAGATAAAATGAACACAATTCATGAAGACGACGTCATTTTGGTTGATCGAGGTTTTCGAGACGTTATAAAGTTTCTTACTGATGATAAAAAATTGCGAGTTTACTGTCCCGAACTTGATCAACTTGACGTCTTAGAAGCAAATAACTCGAGATTTGTCATCAAAATTCGTTGGGTAATTGAATAAGTTTTTGCTCGATTAAAGAACAAATTCAAAATTTTTGCTTTACCAGCTCATAATACAACTTTAATTCACGACTTTGAATCTCTTTTAATAGCATTTACACTATTGAACTTATTTCACAAATCTATCGTCAGTAACAGAATGTACGAAGATATTGCAAATGTGATGAAATCTCAAGTAAACATTCCAAATCGTTTGAAAGTGATAGTGGAAAAATATAATCTATCCCAAGTTAGATCACCGTACCTTGAGGCTCACTATATAACAATAGATAATATGGAAAATAATCAATTTCTTGGGTTCCCTCAGCTTGAGCTAAATTTATATTATATTATCTCAGTCTTGGTCCATATCAGATCAATAATTCCATCTCATACTATGCTGAACATCAAAACGAAGGAAACTTCCTCGTACACAAGTTTCAACCAAACCCTAGACACCGATCTGCTACTATTAATTATGAAAACTATGGAATTGTAATTGAAGATCCCTTATTTATTGAAGCTTATATGAAATTACGGTACCGTAGCGGGAAACACCATCACATTTTTGTTTTCATGGACAAATCCAAATCCGGATGAGACTCAATAAGAGAATATTATTGTACGTGCGAAAGTGACGCTCGTACTGTCGGCTGTTGTAGCCACGTTATGACGATAGTCTGATACCTCGGATATGGTCAGTATAACGGAGTGCATATACCTAATGCTGGAATCTGTAATGTATCCATAACTATTCACAAAGAGTGAATTCGAAACAATTAATCTTGCCTTCACTGGCTGGATAACATTTTTATCTTGCCTTCATTGGCTGGATAACTTCCTCATCTTGCCTTCACTGGCTGGATAACATTTTTATCTTGCTTTCATTGGCTGGATAACTTTTTCATCTTGCCTTCAGTGACTGGATAACATTTTTATCTTGCCTTAATTGGCTGGATAACTTTTTCATCTTGCCTACACTGAAGGTAAATATAAATCTGATAGAAAATTCGCAATCAGTTAGCCGAAAAAACCACAACATAACAGTTCTAATAAAAGTAAATAATTGTTTCACTATTTGTGTCCGCTATATTACATCCGCCATCTTGAATTTTTTTAATCTGACATCGAATTCGTAATAAGCAAAGAACCTATAGATACTGAATTTTGCAAAAATTCGTGCGATAAAACGTTATTAGTGTCAAACTTCCTTAGTAGGTAGTGACCATTTTGACCCTCTATATCTCTGAAACCAATCATATGCTCAATGTAAAACTTTTTTGTGATTAATGTCTTATCATGAGCTATTATTTCGCATAAAATTTAACTTAAAAATCGGGGACTGAAAAACGGACACTTTTTGCGGAGGTTTTTTTATATTGTTTAATTTTACCTATGTTCTATTTATATAAATTAGTTGGTCCAAAATTTCTCAAACATCCTACATGTTTTTTTATATACTTTTATAAATATATATTTTTTTACTTCAACTATAAAACTTTAACATCACATTCAATATTTAAATATATTATAATTATTTTTAATGTGTTTAATATAACTACGTTTATAGAAGAAACATTTGCTTTGATGGCCATCTCAATTTTTAACATTTAAAAAGCCTATATCATATGAAATATTTTTATTTTTAAATCATTTTTAAATCATCATTTAGTTGTTTAGGTGTTACACCTTTTAATCATTTAATTGTATTTTGTATTTATCTAGAGAGTGAAATAAGTTCATTAAATCTATTTAGAACACAATTCTTTAACCTATTATAAAGATATAAACGTGTTTATGTTCAATAATTTACTAAATAATTTACGTAAAACATATATACAGTCGTAAACAGAAAATTTGTTTATATAATTTTTTATATATTATAAAATATCAGTTTATAAAATCTTATAAGGGGAAATAAAGATTTTCAATAAATTCGATATACTACAATTACAATAATACCTTACCTTTTGTTAACTTATTAACCTTTGGAAATTTCAAAATCGTCAAATTAACAAAAAAAGTCAGGATGCTATTGTAATATTCTATTCTAATAATTCTAAAATAATTCTAAATATTCTAATAATATTCTGTTGTAATGATAATCTTGAAATCAAATAAAGTAAAAAAGTCTAATATTATTTTTCTTTCCGATAAACAGCGAGATATCGTAAATATTGAAAAAGTTATCGAGTTTTCCTTAATATCTCAAAAAATATCTCAAATAAAGAAATATTTCAGACATAAGTTATTAAAATTAATTCGTAAAAACAGATGATATAATAAAAAATTGGGGTTTCCATTTAAGAAAAGTAATAATCAATGAATATCTCGAAAGTAGCGCCATCTATAAACAAAAAATATAGTTGTTATATGTCCCCTTTAAAAACCATACAACTTTTGTCTGAAATATTTTTCTCTAAAATGTCACGTTTACAAAAAGTCAAGTAGTACGAGTGGTCTGTGACACTATTGTATATATATTATATGTATATTATTGCATATTATCTATTACAGCAAATTTTGTATAAAAAGAAAACATCTTCAACTATTAAATCGAAAATAATTCTATTAAAGAGAAAATCTAAACTGTCTTCAGCTTATTTAGCTAACACACGAGTTTGCAATAGCTTCAAAGTTTACGCGAAGGCTTCCCGGGACATTCAATTATTGGATGATAGATTCTCGGATTAGAGCATGTTCCCCGAGTTTTAGACGAAAACTAACGACAGCATTGTATTCAGTAGGTCAAAATCCTCTGAAAATATGTTTTGTTTGTTTCCCACGATTGGTTAAAATTGGCCCTTTTACCCAAAAACATTCTTTGGATATTATAATCAGAATCTATGCTATATCAAAAAAATTTCTAAAAAATGCCTGTAGTGGGTATTTTAAGATATACTTGCAAACAAAGCAAGTACGTTTAAAGTGAACCAAATGATCCAAAATAATGTAACTTTTCTTTTATCGACAATTTGTGTATATATTTTCTTTGCCTTAATTAATAGTACATACGCCATGCAAATATTTATATGTGATGATATGAATTAGTATTCTAACATGGTCAGGGTAAACCACTAAAATTGAAAAATAGCAAGAATAATTTTTTCTTTATCTTTCCTACTCGTAACCATCATCTTTCGCAAAAAAGAAATAAAAAATAAAAAAGGAAGAGCATCCGGGTATTTTATAAAGTACACGTATTACACGAAGACTTACGAAAAATTAAAATTGAAGCTGTTCGTTTCATACTGAACAGCATCGAAACTCTCAGCGAAGGAAAATCCGAGAAAAAGAAATTAAATAATTTTGTTGAAACATTTTGAAAGTATAATGCCGACGGCAAGAAGTTAAGGAGAAAGCGATACTTACTTCACTGCGGTGTCCTCGTAAATTATAATTCGCCCTAAGTGGAAGTTCCGTAGCTCGGGTGCGACAATGCGACGTGGTAAAAGTCACTCCTATCAAGCCGCGAGCATTGCCGGTGGCTAACCATCCCTCTTGATAATAATTTGTACGATCGAGCTTCCATCCTTCGTCCTGAGTAAATAAAAAGAGAGTGATAATTACTTATCCGGGGTATGACGCGAAACATTATATCTTTGATTTATAGTTTCATGAATTAGCGTGGAAATTTTTATAATGATCTTCTACGGAATAAAGTAATGCCAATCACGATAAATATTGCACTTATTTCAAAATTTGTACGATACAAATGAAACTGCGAAGAATTGCCCTATAGGAATATTATGACCAAATTAAATGAATGAATTTACCGAAAGAAATGATTGAACGAAACACTTCTGAAATATTATACGGATAAAATCATCAATCAAACAATCGAGTTATCATGACGCAAACATTTTTCGAGCTAATTCATGATTTACTGGGTGAAGCTTCGCCACCGTGCGTAGATACGCGATACTTTCAAATAGGATAATTTAGGGTATGATGACTATACAGAAAAAATGGCCATAGGCTGTAATTTCTCCAACAATTGCAAAATAATGTGTTTTTATAGTCATTCTCAAAGATAATCGATATTTACAATAGTTTATGTGCGTATATTATTCAAAATAATGATATTGTAAATGTTATATCATGTTTTTACTTTCAACTGCCTCGAAAGTTTTTCATGTGTCCACTGAAAGCTGCTATAACTTAAATTACAGTTAAGCTGTCGTAACCAGTGTTAGATATATAACGAAAGTATCTAAATTATATTGTAAAATTATATTGATTATTAATTTTTATTTTCGTTTTCTCTATTTTTTTATAAAAATGGCCATTTTTCCCTCACAATTTGGGTAAGATGGCCAATGCAATCGATATACAGGGTGTTAGAAAAGTTTGAACACGGTCAAATATCTCGAAAACGAAAGGTTTCTGAGAAAAATATTTCTAACCAAAGTTGTAGGGTATTAAAAGTTCTATTGAATGATCATATCCGTTTGACCTTGAGTGGAGGGGTCAAGGCGAGGTCAAGGCCAACATGATTTTTTTAAATAGAATACCCCATTTTTTATCACACAGTGTTAAAGATAACAGTGAGACATTTCCAAAACACTACTTGATGACCTATTTTTGTTGAGAATTGTCTGAGTTATGAGCTTTAGAATTTACGGTGCTGCCAGCATTAGTATTATTCAGAACGTACCGCGTGGAGGTTGCATGGTCGGACTTTACACTCCTGTATGTGTATACGTGCGTGCGTGCGTGCGTGCGTGCGTGCGTGCGTGCGTGCGTGCGTGCGTGCGTGCGTGCGTGCGTGCGTGCGTGCGTGTGCGTGTGCATGCGTACTTATCGACTTTTGGAAATTTCAAAATTATTAAATTAATAAAAGTTAGGGCAGTATTATAGTAGTATATTCTTGATAGTAAATAAAGTAAAAAGGTCTAATACTATACTTGGAAAAGTTACCAAGTTTTCCTTAAATATCTCAAAATATATTAAGCAAATAAAAAAATGTTTCAGAAAAAATTTGTTTAAATTAATTGGTAGAAAAGGATGATATAATAAAAAATTTAGGTTTCCATTTAAGAAAATTGATAATCAGTGAATATCTCGAAAATAGAGCCATCTATAAACAAAATACTATCGCTGTCCTATGTCCCCTTCAAGCTAAACAACTTTTGTCTTAAGCATTTTTCGATTTAACACAATGTTTCTGAGATATTTGAGTGGGTCCTTTAAAATGGAACATCTTGTATATATAAAAAATGTCCATAACATAAATTTTTACAAGTAAAATTTATCATTATTTATTAGAACACTGAGTTATATGGTTATTTTACTTGTTATTATAACAAATTAATTATTATAATCACTTTTCTATCTTTCACTCTCTCTCTCTCTCCCCCCTCTCCTCCTCTCCCCCTCTCCCCATCTCCCCTCTCCTATCCCCCTCCCCTCCCCTTCCCCCCTCACCCTCTCCCCTCTCCCCCCTTCACCTCCACCTCCCTCCCCCTCTCCATCCCTCCCTCCCTCTCTCCCCCTCTCCCCCTCACCCCCTCTCTAACCCCTCCCTCCCCCTCCCTCCCCCTCCCTCTCTCTCTCCCCCATCTCCCTCTCACACACTCTCTCTCACCTCTCTTTTTTCTCTCGCCCCTCTCGTTTTGTCTTTCTGTTTCTCTCACTCTCTCTCGCTCACACACTCTCTCTCTCTCACACTTCCTCTCTGATACTCTCACGTATACACTCTCTCTCTCTCACACACACACTCTCTCTCCCACTCTCCTTTCTCACACACTCTTCTCTCTCACACTCTCTCTCTCTCTCTCTCTCTCTCTCTCTCTCTCTCTCTCTCATACCCCCCTCTCTCTCGCTTACTCACTCACTCACTTACTCCCTCCCTCCCTCCCTCCCCCCCTCTCTCTCTCTCTCTTGGATTATAATTATTACCATTACCCGAGAAAGAAGAAAAAGAATATTATAGCTTATTATTTTATGTTATAAAATTGTTAACCTGATATAATGCCTTTATAACTCCTTTCGTACAAACTGTCATTCAGCTGTCATTCGCCGCGATGACAGCTGCGAACGATACGAATGCAGCCGTGACCGATCGAGACGATCGAGATAATCGAGACGGCCAATCAACATCGCGGAAAAGAGGCTTCAATGCTTCGATAAGAATAAGAGGAATATTTTTTCTTACTATTGTATATACCATAAGTATTCTTCAAGCATCCAGTTTACATTTTTTTCTATATTGCAAACAACTTACTTCCGGCGACTCATCCGGCACTTTGCCCATCCAGCTGAGCGACAAAATGTTGCAGTCGCATTTGGCATTGTTGTTTTTCTCGAAATGTAGATGCATGTTAATGACACGATTAAATTCCTTTTATTAAGTCTGTCAATTCGTCAAATCAACATCGTTTTTTATAATTCCGACTTCGTTTGCAGCTGGACTCCATGTTGTTCTTCTCGCGAACATTCTGGTGCCGTCTGTACTCTGTTGCACCGGAGAATTCGAGATCGATAATCGAACGCTCACACATCAGCGTAAATACACACAAATAGCTTTCCGTGACATACACTCTCGTGTTTTAAGATCGAAACGAACTTTCTTCAAGAGGCTTCACAAAGGGAGGAGGACGTTATGGAAAAACGTGTCGTATTTCTGTTTCGTGATTTCTTTCCCATTGAAGTTCGTGGCAATGATACCGGATATCGCTTTTCGGTCACAATCGGGAAATAATTATGCACCACCGTTAACAAGCACCGAATTGCGCGTTTTTCACGAAATTGCTGCTCACCACCCTTATCATTTGTTTATCACGACCGCCATTTTGCTGTCCTAGACGCTGCTCTACTTTCCAGGCGATTCCTGTTCTGCGTCGCGCCACACCGTGCCGCGTTGAATTGTCGGGCCAGGGTGCACGTTTATGTGCGGGTGGATATGAACTTCGTATTCGCGGAAGTGACACGAGCTTCCAATGCGAGCGGGCGTCCGACTAGAAAGCTCGGTCGCTCGAACGGGAATACGCGCGAGCCTCCGCCGGAGCTCTTGCTTCCGTCGGTTACGTTCGCGCGGACGAACGTATTGATTGGAGTCAACCGCGTTCCGTGTACACTGCGACCACCTCATGCGTCCCGACTACACTAAATTTGCCGCGAGCTTTACCACGCAACACTGTGCCGCTCCGTGAAACTAGAGTCACTGGATATGTCATATGAAACACCTCTTAACACCTCTTTTACGTAAGTTTGAATAAAAAACGCACCTCGATGATTCTTTAACGAAGCATTTTCAGCAAAAAATATTTTAGACATAAGGTGTATGATTTCACGGGGAACATAAGACAACTATACTATTTTGTTTACAAATGGCATCACTTTCAAGATATTCACTGATCATTACTTTTCTTAAATGGAAACCCAAATTTTTTATTACACTGTCTTTTCCTATTAATTAATTTAAACAACTTTTGTCTGAAACATTGTTTTATTTGCATAATATTTTTTGAGATATTTAATACCAGGTCTGTAAATATGAAACCGGAATTTGCCCATAGATGGCTCTAGCTGTCAATGTAGTTACCACCAAACCGCGTCATTGGCGCCATTTCTATTTGTTGACATCTGACAAAGATTTTCAACTCACAACAATACAAGTTTCATACAACAATATAGTTACAGCATAATAGCGTTGAATATGTCGAATTTTGTGCCTGGAAGCTACGATTTGCGGACAGCATTGATTTTCTGCTATCATTTGAAGAAAACTACTACAGAATTGCATCGAATACTTATCGAAGCTTACGGTGAGCATGCTCTTGATAAATCACAGTGCTTTGAGTGGTTTAAAAAATTCAAACGTGGCGATTTTGACGTGAGAAACGAAGAACGTGGAAGACTACTGAAAAAGTTTGAAGACAGCGAATTGCAAGCATTGTTGGATGAGGATGACGCTCAAACGCAACAACAACTCGCGGATCAATTAAATGTGACACGAGAAGCCGTCTCCATACGTTTGAAAGCCATGGGAAAGATCCAGAAGATGGGAAAATGGGTTCCACATGAACTGAATGAAAGACAGCAGGAAAACCGAAAAACCATTTGCGAAATGCTGCTCGCCAGGTACAAAAGAAAGTCATTTCTCTATCGAATTGTGACTGGCGATGAAAAGTGGATACATTTTGAGAATCCTATGCGTAAAAGATCATGGGTAACTCCAGGCGAACCATCGACATCGACTGTAAGGCCAAATCGCTATGGACGGAAGACAATGCTCTGTTTGGTGGGATCAGAAGGGTGTGATCTATTATGAGCTGCTAAAACCTGGCGAAACCGTTAATACTGAACGCTACCGACAACAAATGATCGATTTGAATCAAGCTTTGCGTGAAAAACAACCAGAATATCAAAAAAGGCAACACAAAGTGATTTTGCTTCATGATAATGCACCATCACACATAGCAAAACTGGTCAAGGAAACGATTGAGGCGTTTAGTTGGGAAATATTTTCGCATGCGGCTTACTCACCAGACTTGGCTCCGTCCGATTACTACTTATTTGCATCGATGGGACACGCACTTGCTGAGCAGTGCTTCACTTCTTACGAAAATGTACGAAAATGGTTCGATGACTGGTTTGCCTCAAAAGAGCAACAGTTTTTTTGGCATGACATCCACAAATTGTCAGACAGGTGGGAAAAATGTATAGCTAGCGATGGGCAATATTTTGAATAAAATATTTTTTATCATTTTCATACAATAAACGTGTATTTTCTTTATAAAAATTCCGGTTTCATATTTTCATACCTGGTGTATGTAACATGTATAACAAACTCAAATTATTTTTTCTCAATATGTATGTGTGAAATATATAAGGTTTCACAAATAAAACTTATCTAACTACAAGAAAAATGTGATATAAAAAATATAAAACTTACCTTTTTAAACAAAAAGGTAAAAAAAGGCGCCAAGTATACGCGCAACACGTATTATGTTATTTTTAGAAATCTCAAATTATCAAGTTATATATGTACGTAACATAAATTTTTATACAAATAAAACTTATGACTATAATAAAACTCTACAACATTGGTCTACTTTACAAAAGAAGTGCAGTGAAGAATAATAACGCCAACTGAGAAACCTAACATATATACTTGTATATATGATTATAATATAATTATATATATATATATAATTATATATATATATGATTATAATATAATATAATATAATTAATTCTTTATTCAAGATAAACGATAATATTTGCACTTTTAATATTGTGCATCGTACCATACCTGAGCGTATATCTTTGTGCAATGTAATTTATTATTTTCGTTATACAAGTAATAAGTTTGTACAAGTAAAACTTATACTTCAAACAATAAATTCTTCTATTGAATACTATAAATAAAACTCTACAAAAAATATAACAAAACAATAACATCAATTGAAAAACTCTACTTAACATCAACTCTGTAAATGAGAGCGATTTGCAATCTGAAGATAAATGTATCGAAAACTACCTATAATGCATAGCGCAGTACTTCAAAAACAATGTCTTCATTATTTACTAGGACATTGAGTTTTATGATTATTTTACTTGTTAATTTAATAATTTTGAAATTTCCAAAAGTCGATAAGTTAACAAAAGTTAGGACACTATTATAGTAATATATTCTTGATAGTAAATAAAGTAAAAAAGTCTAATACTATTTTTTCTTTCGACGAATAATTAGCGAGATATCGTAAGTTAAATGTTGAAAAAGTTACCAAGTTTTCCTTAAATATTTCAAAAAATATTAAGCAAATAAAAAAATGTTTCAGACAAAAGTTGTTAAAATTAGTTGGTAAAAAAAGAAGATATAATAAAAAATTGGGCTTTCTATTTTAAAAAATTAAGTTGACCTTCAACTGATCTTGAAAATGCCCTCCAAATAAAAAACTGATAATGCCATTCTCTTTCTCCTTCGAAATCATGGAAAACGTGTTTTAGCTTTTTTTAATATCTTTCATAGTTTTCGAGATCTTTTAATGCGAAAGTTAAAATGGGACAACCTGTATATATGTTAGGTTTCTCAGTTGACGTTACTATTTTAATATATCACTTTTTTTGTAAAGTAGATCAGTGTTGTAGAGTTTTATTATAGTTATAAGTTTTATTTGTAAAAATTTATGATACGCGAGTGAGGCGCGCGCGCCGCATAGACAATAGCACTTATTCGTTAACTTTAACACGTTCTTCTACAAAAACTACTTGTCAGACGCAATTTTGCTAAAGGAAAAAGTTGTTTATTTTAGTATAAAGTATCATGTCCTGTACTCCGAATGCGGGAATTTCGGATCACCTTGTATATTGAGAAAAAATAATTTGAGTTTGTTATACATGTTACATATATTAAATATCTCAAGAAATATTAGGCAAATAAAAAAATTTTCAGACAAAAGTTGTTTAAATTAATTGATAGAAAAAGACGGTGTACTGGGGTTTCCATTTAAGGGGTAACACCTATGTAAAATTTTCAAAAAATCGATTTTTTTATATTTTTTTAAATACACTTTAGGGTCTTAGAAATAAAGTAAAATGGTTTTATAGCCAGAAAAATTTTTTCTTTGAGGATTTAGGCTCCCGCGTTAAAGGCTTATTAGATGCTCGGCTTTACGGAGACGTACTTATTGCTAAAAAAAGAATGCATTGATCACGTGCAAAAACACATAGGTACGCGGCTGAGGAACTAGAAAAAAACGAAGAAAGGTCTGGGAGGAAAAGGCAAGCTAATGAGCAAATTAATTGACGAATTAGCAATTTATTACGGTGTGGCTACAAGTAGAAATTCAGATTCGATAGAAAAAATGCGAGATGAAATATGGGCCACAATTTATCATAAGATCTCGACAGACGAACAACCTCAGCACGACAAATGCCCGAGCGGTGCCAACTCGTGGTGCACGTGGCAAGCTGCGAAAGCCACAGATAAATTAAATAATTATAAGCATAAACCGACGATGTCAGCACAGGTTTTTGATAAAATCGAACCTATATATACAGACTTAAGTCTCGATGAACTGTTCAATCGTTACTTCGGAGGATTTATTCAGAATAGCAATGAGAATTTTAATGCCATCGTGTGGTCGATCGCGCCGAAAACTTCATCGAGCGGTAAAAAAAGTACTAGAAGTTTACTCTGACATGCCGTTTGCCTATTTAACGATGGAATGAGCAACATTATACAAATAATGCAAGTTCTGGGCATCATTATAGGCCCTAACTGCTATAATTTCTGCGTTGAGGTCGATGAATGACGCATTAAACTGTCCGACCGGACTCTCAACGATGCGGCGAAAGAGGCTCGCTCGAGCCTAAAAGCTGCGAGAAAAGATGAATATGACGAAAATCTTGCTGTCGAAGGGCAACTGTATGTTCCTGGCATCGCTAAAGGTAAATTTTTAGTCCTGGGGGACTAAAGGTAAATTCACTTTAAGTATAAAATCTCAATTGTTAATCAAAGAATATTAACATTCAAAACTTTAAACGCGTTTTTCTCGAAACAGCATTTTTAAAGTTGGCTAGCAGTATAACAAACAATTTTTAATCGGTTAACTTCAAATTTTAATAAGACTTTAAAAACTAGATTCTCTAAAGAAATACGTAGAATTGTTTTGATAAGTTAAAAATTGTTTGAGTTACAAGTGGTTTTACACGATTTTTTCTCTCGAAAGAATTGAAATTTTGTTTAAAACTCCACCATTTTTTCAAAAATCAATATTATCAAAAACGGTTACGTATTTCTCTAAGTATTGGAATAAAGAAAACAAATTTTTTTGCTTTTTGTTCTAGACCAAAAATTACGGCACTTATGCTGCTAGCCGCGGACCACCTTGCCAAATCGACTGTCTCCTTCATCCAGCTGTAGCTCCACCATTTTGAATATTTTTACCACTAAAAAATTATTTTTTATACTTTTCAATATGGACAACAATATTATCAAAGTAATTTTTCAATAGCACCATTGAGAAAATTACAAAAAATTCCCAAACATAGAGTTCATTTTCGGCCGGTTACATAAGTGTTAACCCTTAAGAAAAGTAATGATCAATGAATATCTCGAAAATAATGCCATTTATAGACAAAATAGTATAGCTGTTTTATGTCCCCCGCGAAACCATACACTTTCTATCCAAAACATTTTTGCTGAAAATGCTTCGTTAAAGAATCATCGAAGTGCGTTTTTTAAAATGGGATACGCTGTATATTCTGAGAAAAAAATAATTTAAGTAATAACTTGAGTAATAAATTGAGTAATAATTTCACTTTTAAGACGATTTCCTGTTTTAAGACGATTTTTAATGCTTCCTGTTTCTTCAAACCGTCTTACAGTTCTTTCAACAGTTGATTTTGAAATAGGAATATTCTCATCTCGAAAAGTTATATTGAAAAGATCCTTTACATCTTGATACGATCTTAATCTACATTGCTGGAAAGCACCCTTTAACTTCGACTCGAAGTTAGCGCTAAATAATCTGTTCAAATTAATTTCAGTTAATAACATTCCTTTCGTTAATTAACCTAAACATGATCGACTTAACCTAAGTTCATCGCATCTTGCGCACATCGTATTTCACAGAAGTTTTTCATATCACAATCTCGGTGAGTATTTCATTATATCTCGGTAAATATATTACAAATATTCGATTAACATTTTTCAACTACTGTTGCTGTGCTATAGGTTTCATCCACTGTTCAATTTTGTCTGTAGATAGAATAGTATTCAGTAGCCGTCCAGATTGATTGAAACCTGGAATACCTTTAACTACATACCCAGACAGCACCGGACATCTAATGGATGCACGGTCACAGACATAAAGGTTGTCACTTTTTTTTTAATGACTTTCGGGACGCATCCCGACTCGAGAAAGATGAGAGCTGCTGCTCCGCCTGTAAAGCACGCTTGCGCAATAACTCACTACGAAAGGCGAGAAATGAAATATATGTGGTATGACATAAGTATGTTAACAATCATTGCATTCAGCGGAGAAAACCGCTCAGTGAGCGATTAGTGACTAAATAAATACGATTTCACTTAAAATTTAATATATATACCTGTTCAATACCTTGCAAAAGACGCATTCCCATTTGAATGACGCACTATGTATCTATCCTTCCGCTGCTGATTTTTGAAAATGTAAGAATTGGGTGTGTTCACGACACTCAACGGTTGAGCAACTGTTGAATAATTTGTCAACGTTATTGGTCTGAATGTAAGAATCTAACAGTAAGGACCAATAGTCACTAATCGCTCATTGAACGGTTTTCTCCGCTAAACGCAATGATTGTTGACATATTTATGTCATACCACGAATATTTCATTTCTCGCCTTTCGTTGTGAGTTACTGCGCAGGCGTGCTTCGCAGGCGGAGCAGCAGCTCTCATCTTTCTCGAGTCAGGATACGTCCCGAAAGTCATTAAAAAAAAAGTGACAACCTTTATGTCTGCGACCGTACGTTTCACGTCCAATTTATATCCGTATGTCCGATTTACGTCTGTGAACATAAATTGGACGTAACAAGAATGTCCTTATTGGACATCGGACCTGTAAGACGTCCGATGTACGTCCATCAGACGTCCTATGTCCGAAGTTGTGACAAACGTACGTCCTATGGACGTCTTTTGTAAAAAAAATGGACATATAACGGACGTCCAATGGACATCTGTCTGCTGTCTGGATAGTGATTACTACCCAACGATTTCGCAATCAGGTAAGAACCTTTATACTTCGCTTTCAATTTTGAACTTTCTCCAGATCTGAATTTATTATCTCTTATTAGTATATAATCGCCTTCATTATATATTTTGTAGAAGTTTTATGTCGACTGTCATAATATTTTTTATTATACTTCCTTAACTTATCGGTCACTTGTTGTGCTACGGTTCTAACGCTATTTTTTTCGTTTTCAAAATCATGGTCAATTCCCGTTAACATCTGGGTAAATTGTGCTAAAGAATGATCGCTGTGGTTTCGTTGCTCATATCCTAACATTAAACGCGATGGCGTGGACTTTATCGCTCTATAGTGAGTATTATTAATTATATATTGCATTATTTCCAACTTTGAATCCCAGTTATCCACTGCGTCACATAACTTAGCTAAGGAACTTTTCAAAAATCTATTAACTCTCTCAGCTATTCCATTCGTCCAAGGTGATGCGACAGCAATTTTCCTATGCTTTTTGCTGATACATATATTCAGAAAATTCTTTCAGAAAATCATGAAAGAAGGAGGGCGTACACTAGGTGGCGACGAAACGCCGTGCGTTCGGGACCTGCATCTTATTTTCGTTCCGAAGAGAGAAAAAATATCGAAAGCGCGGTAGTTGTTAGACCGGGAATCGAACCCGGGTCTTTCGCTCGCTGGGCGACTGCTCTAGATCACTGAGCTACCTGACGCTCCACGCTCACGACACTCTCCCCTCCCCAGATAACGTTGAGAGATGTCGTTCGGAAGCGACATCTCTAGTGCTATCCCGAGCGCACGACGACTACAGAGAGAAGCATTAGGCCTGTTCGTTTTGTCTGCACTGTTGAACTGGTGCAACAAGTTAAAGTGAGAAAACCTATGTTTGTCTCACTTTAACTGAATGCACCAGTTCAGCAGTGCAGACAAAACGAACAGGCCTATTGTTACTTGTACCTGATGGTACAAGCTGACAGTCTCTCAAAGTCAAAGGTTGCTATCCTTTTAAGACCTGCTGTCCATGTATGCCGGCCTCCACCGTTGCCCCTCCTTATCCGGTGCAAATAATAGAAATAAGCCCCGGGGTCGACGCCATATTTTGGCTGCCCCCGGGCGCTTGGACACGTTTTGCAACGCGCCGAAGAGGGATCTACCATGAAAGGAGGGCGTACTAGGTGGCGAAATCCGATCCGACGACGTAACCGCTTCAAGCAACAAGCTTGATTGGCGCTTCGACAAGAACTACTTCTCTATCCGCGGTTCTTCGGCACGACAACTTCAGGAAGTGTGAGCCCGAATCCCACTTCTGATGTGTTTTACTTCTCGCTGTAAAAGAGACAGCAAGGATTCTCTGGCTTTCCACTCTCCCTCGACGACTTTATGACAGGATAGACAGCACAATAAAATAATTGTTCGACATTTGTATAATTAGAAAATAAAGAAGAACATATATTAAAAAAATATACTAATATAATTTTCGACTTATATATATCTCTCGACAATAATTAACCTATCCAACGACAACGAGCTAATACGGACAAAGGATCCGAACGTTTTTAGTTGAGAGCTCGTGAGCAAAAGCTGTCGCACGCAGACGTTATCTTTTAAAAATCCGCGTTACCACTGTCCGCACGCTCCAACCATTCTTAAGACTGTAGGTGCTCTCTATACGCCTTTCCTACTGAGGATCAACGACAAGTTTAGTTGGCCCTTTATGTCTACATATCTTACAGTTGTTTTAGATATTCTAAACTAAAGCCCTAGATTATCAAAGAAGCGCAACCGTTACCCCCTCCATAATTCTCGTCCGACATGTAAGGCCCACAGCTGATCCACTGAATAAACGAAGTATCTATATGTCAGGCATACTCTCTTTTATCACTCACAGATATATTTATTATAGTTTTAACATTAGAATCAACCTGAAATAAGTTATAGAATTTTGGAGTGGTAAATGAAAAATGTCGACAGAGTCGGTACGTACGATATTTTATGAAAACGATACAATTCGATTATATTATTATCGTAATATGACATTTGTTTATTCTAGGAGCCAGCTTATTTAAAAAAGAATGAAAATCAATGTAACGAAACTGATATTACTTCTGTTCAAATATCAAATAAATATTGTGGGAAGGTCAGTATATATACTGGGGCCGGGGGGTTGGGGAGGGAATGTGGGAGCAGTTCCCCTAACTCCCCTCCTCACGGTCCGACAGGTAGACATCCCGCAGGGGTTTTAGTCGGTAAGAGTCCGACATAACCCCCGCCCCTCCCCAAGGGGGCGGGGATATCCATGATGGATTTCCCCTGCGTGAACAAAAAAAAAAAGGTCGGTATATATATATAATGTATGCTTACAATTGTGTAAAATATCAACCTAAATGTCCTTGTGCGTTATAATATATGTTACAGATATGTGCTATTGTAGAAAGATGTTCATCTCCTTTTCCACTGGTTTCTGAAACACAATATCATATAATTGAGTAACTGAAATTGCAGTGTAGCGAAGCATCACAAGTTATTCAAGATATGAGAGTTAAACGTGATTTAGGCTTGCAGCAATTATGTAAAATGTTCAATAAGATTGTCAAAATGGAGAAGAAATTGTGCAAGTTGCAATTGACTGTTACAGAAAGGAGGTATAAGCATAAAACAAAAAAATAGCTGAATGATATCGTATACGGGCAGAATAAATCTAAATCTGGGCACTTATAGTTTATTATGTTACATAATACATGATTTTGGATGTTTCAGGGATTACGAATTTTGTAATCATTTATAACTTTTATATTTCTTCTATTTTATAGTGTCTTTGAAATAAATTACAATAGTAAAAATATGTTTATTTTACTTTTATTCCAACCTTTTATATATAACACTAAAATATATATAACTTATGTTCATATAACATGTTTATATAACATTGAACTTTAAACTTATAATAACACAAAATAAATTTTATTCTTAGAAATTCTTCGTTGTTGCTGTCCTGTAGATTAGCAATTACTTCATTCAACTAAAAAAGAATATACATATATATATATATAAAGTGAACCACAATCTTTAACAAACATAAAAAATCCATTAGTAGAACAAAACCCATCTTTTACCTTAACACTGGTATCACTATTATGATCATTGTCAAATTCTTTTTCTACCATTATGTCCTCTTGCAATAAAGTTAATGATTCGGTTATCTTACTCATCACCACTAGAAATGGTGATGATGGTGTGGTTGGTGAAGTTGAACAAGATATATATTCATCATCGACAGTATTGTATATGCATATAATATCACTACGTATATCTTCCACATATTTTACACTTTGTTGTAAATCTTCCTCTTTATGAGTATTTTCTATTGCTGAGCAGTCCTGTGCCTGTTGAAAGGATGCAGTGCTTTGAAAAAAAAATAAAACATTTGGAACAACAGACATATATAATATTGTAGCACAAATAATATGGCATAAAATCTAATGCTTACTTGATCATACGGTAATGCTTTTGAATAGTATACATGATCATTCGCTTTTTTATGTCATTTCTAATGAAAATATTTGTTACATCTTTCAAACATTGTGGGGTTTGTCGAAATCTTCGTACGTTATTATATTGATTTTCATTATCTTTAATTTCTTCTACTTGCAATGAAGGAATAGCAGATATTTTTAGCTTTCGACTTTTATTTCCTCTTGTGTATACATAATCCTCAGGAACAAAATGCAATTGCAACAAAATAGAATACCAGGTCCGTAAATATGAAATCGGAATTTGCCTATAGATGGTCCTAGCTGTCAATGTAGTTACCGTCAAACCGCGTCATTGGCGCCATTTCCATTTGTTGACATCTGACAAAGATTTTCAACTCACAACAATACAAGTTTCATACAACAGCATAGTTTGTAATAGCGTCGAACATGTCGAATTTTGTGCCTGGAAGCTACGATTTGCGGACAGCATTGATTTTCTGTTACCATTTGAAGAAAACTGCTGCAGAATTGCATCGAATACTTGTCGAAGTTTACGGTGAGCATGTTCTTGGTAAATCACAGTGCTTTGAGTGGTTTAAAAAATTCAAACGTGGCGATTTTGAGAAACGAAGAACGTGGAAGACCACCGAAAAAGTTTGAACACAGCGAATTGCAAGCATTGTTGGATGAGGATGACGCTCAAACGCAACAACTCACGGATCAATTAAATGTGACATGAGAAGCCGTCTCCATACGTTTGAAAGCCATGGGAAAGATTCAGAAGATGGGAAAATGAATTCCACATAACTGAATGAAAGACAGCACGAAAACCAAAAAACCACTTGCAAAATGCTGCTCGCCAGGTACAAAAGAAAATCATTTCTCTATCGAATTGTGACTGGCGATGAAAAGTGGATATATTTTGAGAATCCTAAGCGTAAAAGATCATGGGTAACTCCAGGCAAACCATCGACATCGACTGCAAGGCCAAATCGCTATGGACGGAAGACAATGCTCTGTGTTTGGTGGGATCAGAAGGGTGTGATCTATTATGAGCTGCTAAAACCTGGCGAAACCGTTAATACTGAACGCTACCGACAACAAATGATCGATTTGAATCAAGCTTTGTGTGAAAAACAACCAGAATATCAAAAAAGGCAACACAAAGTGATTTTGCTTCATGATAATGCACCATCATACACAGCAAAACTGGTCAAGGAAATGATTGAGGCGTTTAGTTGGGAAATACTTTCGCATGCGGCTTACTCACCAGATTTGACTCCGTCTGATTACTACTTATTTGCATCGATGGGACACGCATGCTGAGCAGCGCTTTACTTCTTACGAAAATGTACGAAAATGGCTCGATGACTGGTTTGCCTCAAAAGAGCAACAGTTTTTTTGGAATGGCATTCACAAATTGTCAGACAGGTGGGAAAAATGTATAGCTAGCGATGGGCAATACTACGAATAAAATATTTTTTATCATTTTCATATAACTCAGACAGCACAATGTCCAAAACTGGGACATAAGACGTTTTTAAGACGTCTTTAAGACGACTTAAAGATGTCTTATTTTCAGACATCTTAAAGACGACTTAAAGATGTCTTAAAGACGTCTTATGTCTCAGTTTTGGACATATGTGCGGTCTGGGAATAAATGTGTATTTTCTATACAAAAATTCCGGTTTTTTATTTATATACCTGGTATACATGATACACATATCATCAGTAAACATGTTTCAGTATTTTATTATTCATATAAAATACCTCACAAATTCTGCTGTTAGTCTTCAGAATCCATTCAGTGGTACGATTCTGTAACTCGTTATTGGAGTTAACGACAGTTTCGTTATTGTTGCGCAGCTTTTCTACGGTATACAAAAGCTGCGCAACGATAACGAAAGTGTCGTTAATTCCAATAACGAGTTACAGAATCGCAGCACTGTCGTTTACGAATAATCCAAGCTATCCAAGCATTCTGCTGTTCCACATTCTTAGGAAAGTTGTGTATATATATTCTTTCATATTCTGTTGTTGCATACCCAAATACTTCATACACTTTTACCATTGTTTATTTGCTAACTCTTCATTTCAATAACGATGATAAATATCCAATACTATAATCATATAAATCAGCTGTGGGCCTGAAATCCGTGATTTTTATTGGCGCCGCGGATAGCCAATCACCAAGCTCGCCACTGGTTGCGCTTCTTTGGGTGCATTCAGTACTACAACCGCTCACTGAGCGCTAAGTGAGCTCTTGCATTTGATTGGTGTATATTTTTAAATCTAAAGGAATATACCAATCAAATGTAAAAGCTCATTGAGCGCTCAGTGAGCGGTGTAGTACTGAATGCACCCTTTGATAATCTAGGGCTTTATTCTAAACTCTGTGTTGCTTCATATATGCTCATTCCTTTCCTAATTGCCTCTACAGCAACGTTAAGAGTAGTTTGTAGAATAGTTCTTTTTCTTTTTTTTCCTTCCCCATAATAAAATAAAGCTGATAATAAAACAAATAAAATGTTTCAACATAATAAACATAAAATCAACATAATAAACATTATGTTTTAAGTTTATACTTTATCTCCATGCTGTCACTATAATTTTGTTATTATATACCTAAAAAAATATTCAATTTAAACGTAAAAACTCTTACAGTTAAAAAATAAAGATTCTCTCTCCTTATGAGCCTGAATTATTCACAAATTTATCACAAATATTTGTTTAATCAATGGGACATGAATGTGACATGTGTACCGATAACTGAACACATGTTTAATCAATGGGTCATTATAATTTTGACTGTACTGGTGATTGAATATTAATATATTTATATTTAAAAAGAAACTTTTAGGTAAAATGATATTTTTAAATGTGTTATTTGATAGCTTAAATTTATAAAAACATTATGTATTTATAATGTAAGTAAATATGAGTAGCATTTTCAAAAATATATTAAAAATATAAGCATCATATCTTGTTCAAGATGGTAAGAAACTAAGTGAAAATGTGACTATTTCTGTTATATTCAAAATAAACAATTTTTTAACAATGATTTACAGTCCAATTATATATTTTTATAATTTACTTCTATAAAAAAATGTTAAACATTCTTTTTATACATTATTTTTAGTTTATCATTTTGTTTCATTTATTGATAAGTATCTTAATAAACAAAAATATATTATTAATATTTCAATCATTGGGACATGTTTAAGCACTGGGACGTTTACCTTAATTAATAAAAACAAAAACTAATTACTGTATGTGAATGGATCACAGTATCAAATAAATATTGCCCCATAAAAAACAGTATATCGCTGTTCCTCAGTAAACATTAACTAACATACTAGAACATCCTACAAATGTTATATGGATATCTAATGTAATTTGTGGCTAATACACATATCCTCAGGTATTTCTATAGATAACTTTTTTCATTTGGATCATAATAGGATCATTTTGATCAAATTAGGATACTAGTATACTTTAGAGGTCTAATGCTATGTGGGAACTATCACCTAATATATAGTCCATTTCTTAAAATAAAAACAACATATCATAAAAATATACAATATTTAGTAAATATTAGATTATTAAAATATTAAGTGATTTATCTAAGTATCACAGGTTATTATAAAAGATTATAAGACATAAATAATATATAGATTAACTTCTTTTTGTATTCTTTGTGCTTTCTGGATATCAATTGTTCAGACATAAACAATACATATTAAATATCTAATTAATAAAAACAAGAACTAATTACTATATGTAAATGGATCACAGTATCAAATAAATATTGCACCATAAAAAAAAACAGTGTATCACTGTTCCTCAGTAAACATCAACTAACACATTAGAACATTCTACGGATGTTAAGCGGATATCTTGTGTAATTTTTGGCTAATGCACATGTCCTCAGGTACTTCTATGGATAACTTTTCATTTGGATTATAATAGGATCATTTTAATTAAATTAGGATATACTTTGGAAATCTAATGTTATGTGGGCAAGTACTTCTATGGATAACTTTTTCATTTGGATCGTAATAAGATCATTTTGATCAAATTAGGATATACTTTGGAGATCTAATGCTATGTGGGTTCAATAAAATTCAATAAAATATATCTATGGGGAAAGTACTGAAAAATATATTTTATAGTTATGTAAAACTGCATAGTATTCAGATTTCATTATATTTAAAACACCTGTTACATATTATTTACTATATGCAGTAATATAATTATTGGAATACGCAAGTTTCCTCTTCTTCATCAATTTCCAATTATATTTTTCAAATTTTGCATCAAATGGTAATGGATCTGTCGTACAATTATCTGCTTCAGACCCAATGACTAGAACTAAATTGCCTTTATAATTTTTCATATAATTATGAAATGCTGTACTGTTATTAAAATAACAAAATAACATAGCATATTTCCTTGGTATTTGAAAATTTATAGACTTATTTTCAACAAAGATAATGTTTTTCAAAAATTGTGGTGGAGAATATTTGCTGTTCCACCAAGAACTATCCAATTCTATGCCCACAATATCTAAACCTTAAAAATAATGACTCTATTAGAAATATAATATTTCTTTTTATCCACTATATACACATCAATATCTATTTGTTTTGAAGATTTACCTGAGTACTTTTGTAATAACCATTCTAGTAATCCACATCCACATCCAACACTTGCGATTCCCGATAGATTATACTGTTGTACAATTTTATTTATCCAATACAAATCACTTATATCAGGCAATACCCATGATAATTTGCATGTTTTAAAATCATCAATCGTGGAAGACAAAGCAATAATCTCTTCCCACTTTTGAGCATTATATAACGAAATAATATTTTCGTCGATATTATTGTTATTCATATTTTCAAAATTTTTTATTAAGTCACAAAAAATAATCACTTAATTTAAATTTACTTGACACAATTTCTGAAATAAAATAACGTTTATTATTATTTGAAAAAGTGTAGGATACAAAATATTCTTTTACATAAGTAGACTATTTATAAAAGACTGAAGAAAGGTTTACCTATCGAACTCGAGTTGTGTAATTTTTCCAATTATAGATTGGCTCATTGCTATGTGTAATTTGATATATATAATGTTTCTTGGCGTATTCGTTCGTTAGTAAATACCAACTAATAGTAACTCAGTAATAAAAGTCTAACATAACATATGTTATATTACATTTACATTATTAAATAGGCAATTATAATATTGGTACTAGTAAACACAAAATATCATCGATGTTACAATATCAGCTAAATCATATGGTATGTTACCTAACTGTTATTTTGTTATATAACAAAGCAACTATTATGTAACATACCATATGATTTAGCTGACATTGTAATATCGATGATATTTTGTGTTTACTAAAGTATAATGTTAATGACTGTTGCTTAGTATTTGATGCTAAATTAGAAATTTTACTGCGACGATATACAAAATAATGCAAATGTTACCGGACGATTTAACATCTCGTAAAAAATGTTTCCTGCAAAAGTTGTACAATATCAAGAGATCTATTTGATTATTTTAGTGTGGTCCCGACTCTCTTGAAGAAAACTGGGCAAATTGTGGAGCAATTAAATATTTTGCAAACATACATACGCATGTGCGCGTGTGCGCACACGTACACACACACGCACACACGCACACACACACACACACACACAATGCATTTTTCAGAAAAGATGTCAGAAGACTCTAATAAAAGCTATAAAATTTCAAGGCATTCATTTAATGGTGCTATTCTAACATGTTTACCCCAGTCAAAACTATAACGTTGATTCGACGTTGATTTTATGTTAGTCGATGAAACGTTAATTCAATCCTCATCGACATCGAACGTTGTGGTTCTGACTGGAACTTTCTCTCTGGAAGAAGCAATTTGGGAAGTTAGTAAAATATCTTAAACGGAAATAGAGATCACGTGCCTTCCTGTCAATGAAACGTATTTTAGGCAGATATTCATTTTTTATGCTTTTTCTAAAAAAGTAATACTTGACCTATTTTTTTATTAAGATTTTTACCAACTTAAAAGAGGATGTTAAGAAGTGTCGATTTTGACTCTCAAGGGAGAAATAAATGGATCTTGAAAAATCATTGTTTGGGTCTTCAGATAACGGGAACAATCATTTATCCGACCAGTAATGGGAACATTGCAAGAATGGCCTGAATATAGTAAAAAATGCTACTAGCCAAAAACTTGCAATTACTGATTACTCTAGACGAGTCACACTTCCATATAGTTCCTTATAAGGAACGTTAATTCAGTGTTCAAAGAGACACTAGTACCAGAATCTTTGAGGTTCTCGGATAGTGAAAAAATTGCCTTCCCCATGAAAGCAACACATGCGTGCTCCATAAGAGACAAATATGTTCCTGCTAGACTTTATGTAAACCTCGACGTATTCATTTCTCGATAGATGTCTTAAGAGTCTATCTCACGGCAGTTGAATACATTTCTTATGAGATTGCCTTTTGTAAATGGCACAGTCATGCGCAGGTCACCTTTATTATTGTTACGATTGCAAGTTTCAGTCGACGACGAACGTGATTTTGACTTGTTTTTTCTGCGTGGCACTTTTTACATAAAATTGTATCATTAGATTCATGATATTCTGTGTGTGATCTTTTTTCAAGTAATCGTGCACAATTAGAGCAACGTTTAGGCATAATGAGTATGTTTTCCGAGAAAAGTGAATTTTATTGTTATTTTAATATATTAATGTTATTTTAATATACCTCTGAAATGAGTTACTGACCAATAATTATAAAAGGAATTGACTACAAGAACTATCGCTATAAATGGATTATATGATGGAAATATTAATCTTTGACACTTCATATTAATCTTTGACAAGTGTTTTGACACTTTTTGGTGATATCTTAGCAAAGACATAATCATGGATCAGTAAAAATAGTAATATAAATCAGTTGCAAGTTAAAATTGTAAACAAGTGTTGTTTTATCTCGCCGCATTTACGTCTCGCCGCACGCCGCCAACAGTTACTGGGTCGACTGGGCCACGCTGTGACCCGAGAGGTTGCGACGCTTCTCCAATCATCCATCTCGGCGCGCACTCATTCGTCAGATTTCTATAATTAATAACTCGATAATTATTGCAAATCTCGCAAAACGATATGGGACTGTTATGTTTGTCTTAACCCAACTTACCTTCACACTTCGGGTTGGCAGCTAATTACCGAACACCCTCTATATTCATTTGTAATGCTTCTTTCAAAAAGATACTATTTGACTTTCCTTCCTATTTAAAATGTTATACCAACTTTTAAATCCTTCCTCTCTCTTCAAGGAAGCCAGAGAACGAAGGGAGAGAAGGTTAAAATAACGCCATCAGATAAATCTCTTGAAATTATACAACTTTCATAGAAAACGTTTTTTTTTAATCGAGTTATGTACGAGAAATTAAATCAGCTCGAAATATTTGTACCATCTTCTGTATTAATAAAATATATAAAGTTGTATAATGTTATAAATCAAATATAAAAAAATTTATACTTTATTATGCTTTATTGTTATATTGTTATAAAATTACGAACAAAACATATTGCAGTCAAAGTTTATGAAACTTATAATATATTATAACTTGTAATATTGACATTGTAAAATATTTAAAAACATATCTTATATATAATCATATTATAAATATTCATTTTTAGACCTTGACATTGTACATACTGTTAATTAAAACTTTATTTTAACGCGTAATATATGTCATCTTTTGATATGTTTAATAGCATTCTTTGATACATATAATTTGATGAATCTTCGCATATTAACAATCTATTACTATTCAATCTGTCACAAATACCAAGAGTCTCGGTGATATTAGGTGTTTGGAAACCTAAAAAGGAATATAAGATAGAAAATCTATTTGCATATTATATTTCTATCAATTATACAGAGTATCCGGTAATTAGCTACCGACCCGAAGTGTAAAGGTAGATTGGGTTAAGATAAACATAAAAGTCCCATACCGTTTTGCAAGATTCGCAATAATTATCGAGTTATTAATTACAGAAATCTGACGAATGAGCGCGCGCTGAGATGGATGATTAGAGAAGCGTCGCAGCCTCTCGGGTTACAGCACGGCCCAGTCGACCCAACAACTGTTGGCGGCGTGCAACGAGGCGTAGGTGCAGCGAGATAAAACAACGAATAGCGTTATCCTTCTCCTCACCGCGCACCGCGCAACAGTTTCTGAATCGATTGGGTCGCGCTGTGACCTGAGCAGTTGCAACGTTTCTCCAATCATCTATATCGGCGCGCTCCCACTTCTCAGATTTTTGTCATTAATAACTCAATAATTATTGCGAATCTCACAAAACGGTATGGGACTTTTATGTTTGTCTTAACCTAATCTACCTTCACACTTTGGGTTGGCAGCTAATTACAGGACACCCTCTATAAAGTGTCCCAGAACAATTGTTACAGAGCTCGTAGAAACATAGAGCGGGTCAAAACAGATATAAAAGTCCCGTACCGTTTTGCAATATTTATAATGATTGTCGAGTTATTATGACAGAAATCTGAGAAGTGCGCGCGCGCGCCGGTATGGATGATTGGAGAAGCGTTGCAGCTGCTCGGACTAGAGCACGGCTCAGTCGATTTAGCAACTGCTGCCGATGCACAGCGAGAGAAAGGACAACGTGCCGCTATTCGTGTTTTATCTCACTGCACGCCGCCAACAAGTTACTAAATCGACTGGACCGCGCTGTAGCTTGAGTAGTTGCGATGCTCCTCCAATCATCTATTTCGGTGCGCGCTCACTCGTCAGATTTCTGTCATTAATAACTCGATAATTATCGCAAAACAATATGGGACTTTTATATTTATTTTATATTTATTTTAATCCGGTCTGTCTTCACGAGTTCTGTAACAATTGTTCTGGGACATCCTATATACTGTACCTATATAATTTTTGTACAAACCATCAAAACAACATAAAGATTCAAATTGTTTGTAGACGTTCTTGAAACAGACTTCTTCGACACCAATTCGTGTAACTTCTACGCATACAGCTTGTAAAAATATTTGTTCCATCTTTGAACAATATTTTATGGCTTGAACCTTTGGGTTCGCTATCATCTCTGACAAAGCTTGATTTACGTCTTCCATGCATACTGTAGCTCTTCCATGTGTTTCAGTGATTTCTGCTGCTCGACGACATATGTCTAAAGCACGGCGAGCGTCTCCTGATACCGCAGATACCTTACTAAACATACATAAATATAAATATTATACAGTGCCTACCAAAAGTTCCGGGCCATCTAAATAATTTTTGAATGGTTTGAAATGTAGGATAGAAATTTATAGGGATACAATGGGATCACAAAGTCTATTATTTAACCACAAAAACACCCACCTCCACACCTCCGAGGGACGGGGGGAGGAGGAAGACAAAATATCTTAAATGGCATGTGGAGTTGAGTGAGGGCTCGTTCGAAAGGGCTTTCGAATACACACTCAGGAACGCGCGTGCCTACGTGAAGCCTTATCTTTCTTCTGTTGTCACCGTGGGCCTTCGCTATCACAAAATCTCAATAGAAATATTCAAATGTTCATAACTCTGCGAAAAAAATCGTAGAGACCTCGGCGATCTCACGTTGTTTTCGTCTCGGAAAACCCTTTCGAACGAGCCTTCACTCCACCCCACTCACATGCCATTTTAAATATTTTGGCTCCCTCCTCCCCCCGTCCCCCGGAGGTGGGTGTTTTTATGGTTAAATAATAGACTTTGTGATCCCATTGTATCCCTATAAATTTCTATCCTACATTTCAAATCATTCAAAAATTATTTAGGTGGCCCGAAACTTTTGGTAGGCATTGTATATAGCACACACGTACATGAATTTTAAACATAGAATAATTTTAAAAAACGTAAATATAAACAAATAAATATATTGCTTACCGTGCAATTAATTGTATAGCTTCACCTTTAAAAATATCTGTATCTTTGATCCTAGTTATTACAATCTGTTGTAGTTGTTCATGATTATATGGTTGAAAAATAACGCGGGTAAGGCCTAATCGCGATGTAACTCTACCCATTAAAACTCTTTCCGGAAGATCCATAGTATTTGCAATAGTAATAACTACTAGTTGTGCAGAGACTCTGGTTGGCCAATCCAAAAGATTATATATTACATCCTGCCGCTTTGTACATAATAAATCAAGCTACAAAAGAAAATAGAAATGGGATAATAAAGATAATTTAAAAATTTAATCAACGATACATAATAATCCAAAAACAATAAAATAAGGAAGAAGCAAAGATATATACAAAGTGTCTTCTCACAACTTGCTCCGAGGAATTCGTGAAGACAGAGCAGATTAAGACAAACATAAAAGTCCCATGCAAATAGTATAAAATACACTACAACTTTCATATAAACTATTTTTGCATATGCCTCGTATTTTAAAAAATATACGCTAAAAATGAGAATTTTTTTTGGAAGGATAGTTTCATCCCCTCAGGCTAGAATTTCGCACGAACAAAAAATAGTTTTGCATTACGGATGAACTACTTTACTTCCACACAAAGTTTCAGAATTTTTTGAATTTCCGCGTTCCCTATGTTTCCTTGTAAAACAAGATCGAAGAGAGATTTCAGTCATCTAGAACAAAATCGAGAAACGATCTACCTTTTCAAAGTTTATAATAAATTTTCGAAATGTTCACCATTCACAGTTTGACAATATGTTAGACGATGGCCGAAACATTTTACGAGATATTTCATATTAAAAAGGTTCACAACTAAGTTTAAAATATCTTAAGAAACTAACCAAAAGAAGCTTTATTATAATATTCTGAAAACGTCACAATAAAACGTCGCTGTAAGAATGTAACAAAAAAATAAGAGATCACATTTAAAAAATTCTACTTGACTTTGTTCTGACCTTGGCGACGGTACACAAGGTCAAATTGATAAAATTAATATTTTTATTGAAAATACTTTTCCATAAAACATATCTATCGAGATTTTTCAGTTTCTAAACTTTTTCTTCATCCTGTACGCACGCACGCACGCACACGATAGAGATGAAGCATTTAAATTGATATGTCTAAATGTATAAAAGATAAAGCAGAAGAAAAAGAAATGTTTCAGACAAAAATTATAGCATTTTAGAAAAGATGTATTGTGGTACTATTGGTTTGATCTTCAGATGAATTATCAAATCAGATGAAGTGTCAAAGTGAAATGAGGGTCAATTTCATTTCTTAATGGGAATTTAATTTAATTTTAAACAATTACGCTTGTAGCCCTTTTCAGGAAGAAAATGGCCTTCACAGACTCAAAGTCATTAGAAGTTAAATAACGAAAAATAGTTTAAATCATTAAATTGAATAATTTTCATTTTATTTATATTTATTTTAGACAGAGATTACTGTAATAGATGAACAGAACGAGCATTTGGTTGGTGTGCCTAACTTCACCAAACTCACCAAGTTTATCTCTAGATTTTCTCCTATGGGGGTTAAAGAAAAAGTATATCAAGATGTATTGGATATGTTTGATTATCAAAAAATATAAAAGAATACATTAAAAATGCATATCACAATATTCATAGGCATATTTTGTTAAATATTCTCCAATTTTTCATTCAATATATTCAAAAGTGTATCAAAGTTTGATGGTCATTTTTTTGTGCATTTAATAAAATAAATAAAAATCTGCCTTTTTTGAAATTTTACAACTTTCGCCTGGAACATTTCTTTTCATTAAAAAAAAATTTTTTATATATTTTTTATATATTTAAGTCTCAATTTAAATGCCTTAACTTATATACATACATATAATGTGAATTTTTTAACTAATTACCTGCATTGCTTTCGCGATTTTTTTGAGACGAGCTTTGAACACAATAAGCTATACAATGAGTGCAAAAAGTATTCGTATAAAGACTTCTTTGAAAAATTTGTTATTTTTATTTTTAAAAAATAAATTTTAATTAACAATGTATTAATATTGAATGTACGTGCTATATTTCTCTTATTGTAACAAAAAGAATGTAATAATTAAAACATATTGTCCTAATAATCAACAAAAACAAAGATTTATATTAAATTAGTGCATAGAAAATATTCATACAATTAAGAAATTTAGCTTCTGGGGTCGTAGATGCAATTGTTTATGTGAAGTTTTTTTTTCGTTTAAAATAGAAATATGTATTTCATTTCTTTAGGAAACACATGGAAGTGTTTTTGATGTATCCCTACTGAATTTGATGTACTTGAAATATATAGGATGATAGCTGTTTGATAGCTGATCATGCAGACGAAAGTTGGAGATAGATTGGGTGCAGCCGAGAAAAAAAGTCATGTACCATAATATCAAATTGGCAATAGTTACCGAGTTATTAATTAAAACATGTGAGCCAACGAGCGCGTAGAGAGCGGAGGGCGGCCGCAGTAAGCACGTAGATATTTGATACAGGCGGAGTCAGTGAGTGACGGTAGGCAAGCGCGTGCGGCGAGGGGTAACGTAAGCGACAAGAGATGATCGCGCGCGACGAGGAGCGAGCGAGCTTTTTCTTTATAGCTTTTTCCTTATAGCTCGCTCGCTCTTCGTCGCGCTCGCTCGTCTTTTGTCGCTTGCGCTCACTCGCTCCTCGTCGCGCGCGATCGCCTTTTGTCGTATACGTTACCCCTCGTCGCGCGCGCTCGCCTACCGTCACTCGCTGACTCCGCCTGTATCAAATGTCTATGTGCTTACTGCGGTCGCCCTCCGTTCTCTACGCGCTCGTTGGCTCACATGTTTTAATTAATAACTCGATAACTATTGGCAATTTGACATTATGGTACATGACTTTTCTTCTCGGCTACACTCAATCTATCTCCAACTTTCGTCTGCATGATCAGCTATCAAACACCCTGTATAATAATCTAGATCCAAATAAGGGATATGAATTTTTTATACGTGCTCAATCGACCTTTTAAGAGATAAAACATTTTTTTTAAGAAAATCGATATTTTCTTTTCAGAACATATATCATCACAAAAATAATGGTAGAAGAGATAGAAAAACTTTCATAAAAATTTAATAATTTGAAAAATAATTTTATAACGTTACCAATTTTTTAAAAAATATAAAAATTCTAAATGTACGCTCATCACTTACCAATTTTTTTTATAATCTAAAAATTTTTTCCGATCAAATGAAAGGATATTTTATGCCAAATCCAACCATGTGTAATGATGCTATTTTTCGACACACGGACTCGAAAAATAGATAAAAACTTCTATATGCCCATAACACTACGTAATATGCATAGTTGCTTACCACACTCGATATACTATATACGTAATACGTCCTTTTCAAACTTCATAGAACTTCATAGAAAAAGATTAGTATTGATATGCAGAATATGTAATCAGAATGAATACTGGAACAAAGTTATTTTCTCAAATGAGAGCAAAGTTAATACTTTTGATTCCGATGGCAAGCATATGGTATAGTAGGAAAGAAATACAGAGCTATACTCAAAAAATCTCATACTAACAGTTAAACAAAGCGACGGTTCTGTATTTGTTTGGGGATACATGAGCATAATAGAAGTCAATAATTTATATTTTATTGATGATATAATGAACAACAAAGCCTACATAAAAAATTTTGAAGAAAAATATCCATGCTGGTGGGGAAGAGAAATTGGGAATTGCTGACAAATATATTTTCCAACAGAACAATAATTCTAAGCATGCAGCATATAGCATGAAACAATGGCTTTTACATTATGCTTTTATTTAATATTCCCAAACAATTAAACACCTCAATCATTAGACCTTAGTCTTATCAAACATTTATAGAAAATGTTTGCAGATGATATTAAAAAGACAGATTTCTTTTAAAAAATGTAAAAACAGCTTTTCGAGAGAGACTCCATCTCATCAATTGTCACGTAAAAGTGGTGCAATTGATCGAAGATTATGAACTATAATTAGTGCTAATGGATACCCCACAAAATATTTAATTGTTTGAATTAAAAAAGGAATGTATGAATATTTTCTGCGCACTGAATATGAATTTTGGTTTTTGTTGATTATTAGAGCAATATATTTCAATTATATTCACATTTTTTTATATAATATTGAGAAATACAGCATATATTATATTTATTATTAATAAATTATTAATTAATTCATTTTCTATAAAAAATTATTTAAAGAAATTTTCTTTTTAGGAGCACCTGTTGCATTCACTATATGTTAAAAAAATGTTCTTATAAAAAAATATAAGCTAAAAAATGTTGCATTTGCATCATACTCTGATATATACACAATATTATTTACTTAAACTGGTTAAACATCCATATATCTTTACTTTAATTTCGCATTATCACACAAAATAGATAAGAAAATGCATGGGGTCATCTTCACATTGCTTGTTCAATTACAATAGTTATTGATAATATATATCACACATAATAAAAGTTTGGTATATGAACTATATATATATATATATACATACCTCATCTACAAGTAGTAATGTCATTGGCCTATTAATATTACTGTTGAATTTTTTTTCTAGTGCATTATATGCCTGTTCCCATGTTAAAACTTTCCCAGATAATTGCTTTAAAATTTGTACATATGCTTGTCTGGATTCAGATAATTTCATACCATTAATTTCAACAAAATTAAATTGATCTAATATACGCTTTTCCACTGAATGCTTTAAACATTTTATAACTTCGTTCACAGTTGCAGTTTTACCTGTGCCTGGGACACCGCTTATATAAATACATCTGCAATAATATTTGTACAATATATATATGTATAATACAATATGTATGTATATAAGTAAATGTTAATCAATGGAATTATTATGTAAGCTTACCCTCCTCTATTGTCCATTAATTTACCTTCTAAAAATTTATAAATAAGATTAAACTCTTCCTCTCTGCAAGGCAATGATTTGGGAACTACACTGACATGTAATCTTGACCTAGCTTTTTGTAATGGTGTAGTTGGTTTAGCTAAAACTCCAACTCTCATTCTGACAGATGGTGTTAAAGTATTATGTTTCACAAATGTCTGAAAGTTTGGAATACATGGATCATTTTGCACTACTGTTGAATCAGTAACATTCTTTTTATTTTTTTTCCTTTGTTTGACTGTTATAGACATATCTTCTGTATTTTCACATATAATTGTCACTTCATCAATTTCTTTATTTTTATTTTCATGTATTATAGCTCTACATTTGTCAGAAGTAGTTAAGAAGTTTCTAGGAATATTTTTCTTACTTTTTATTTGTCTTTTAGGGGTGTCATTCAGTGAATTATATCCTGTTGTAACTGATTTTCTTTTAGGAGTAATATAAGGTGAAGCATATTCCATCTTAGATAATCTTTTTGTAGGAGCTCTATGGGGTGAACTATGTTCTATTGTATTTGTCTTAGAATTTATTATAGTTTTCTCATTAAGTGGTATTTTATTTTTCTTAGATTCTACATTTGTAAATATACTTTCTGATGAGCTGGTTCTTTTAAGCAGGGCATCATCATTGCTTTCTACAGAATTAACATGATGCTTATTATTTTTTAATATTATGTTTGATCTTGTAGATCTTGTATTTGAAACAAATGAAACACAATCTATATCAGAATCATTATCTTTACAGTCACCACATTTAATTTCATGTTTTCCATTTTCTTTTTTTTTATTATTGAAAGAAACAAGAAATGTTTCTTTTGTTTTATCATTAATTTGTTTCTTTCTTAAAACAGATGTTTGTGGATCTGAACAATCATAATCTGAATATTTCTTGGGTAATTTTATAATTCTTGCACCTTTATGTGGCATTTGATTTTCATCTTGTAGTCTTTTCAAGTACTGTCTTGTGTTTCTGGTTGATCTTCTTGGTTTTTCATCATCTGAATCACTGTCTATTTTGTAGCTGCTTTGTTCGGTAGAACGTCTCAATCTAAGTTTCAAGGAAACTTGTCTTTTTTGTAAAATATTTTTTTGTAATAAGAGACTTTTGTTATTATTAAATATTTTGTCAGAATTTGAAGTATCTGAAGAATTTTCACTTATATCTTTCCTTTGAGAATAACATTTGGTAGACTCTTCTATATCATTATCCGAATCAGTATTGAGTATTATAGATATATCTTTTTCTGTGCATTTTTTTGATCTTGCCATTATATTATTTATATTTTAATCTATATATTCAATAATAATTGTTAAATATTTTGTTAAGACAAACAATACTAAACTAAACAATGCTAAATACAAACTAAACAATAATTAACTATTCACAAGTAAATTATTTTTAAATTACTTTCTTATATTGCATATATATTTTTGATAAAACAAATTATTTTTGTTTATTACTTATTTTGTTAATTTTCTACTATAGTTATCGTTATAGCGAAGTACTCACTCTTTTTCTTCTCTGATAGACTGCGTTCTGATATTCACTGCCAGTACTGAAAATACATAGTTTGTGTCATGTATATTATAGATTTTCAATGCTGACAATGGCTGCATTCAGTAGACTCAACAGTTGGTCAACATTACTAGATTTTCCACTGAATCTCGCTCCTGATTGGTAAATACTTCTGGGTCTATGAAGAATCTAAAAGAATGCTTCAATCACAGACAATAATCACTAAGCGCTCTCTGATTACTTTGTTTTACTGAACGCGGCCAAAGACTTCTCTTTCTTTTCAAACGTAGAGTATGATTGGTAATAGTGAAAAGAGGGAAAATTGAAATAAGTTGGATGCTATGACATCTAGTAGAGAACAATATATCTGTTTCGTATGAAGTAAACACTAACCAACATTAACATTTGCTGTATTTGTATATAAGTATTAATTTATTAAAAGGTGGAAGTCCAATGTTAATAATAATCAATTAGTTTATATTATTGAATTAATTGCATTTATCATATAATAATTGACTTTTATATATAGTTTTATACTCTGTTTTAGAATATAATCTATCGAAGCAAAAAACCCAATATTTTAAATTAAATTTATATACTTACTGTTCTGTTTTATGAGAAATTTCATGCTCGATTTCTGCTAGAACTGCAATAACAAATTCTTTGGATAATCTAAATCGTGCATGAAAATCGACATTATCAAATTCTTCCAAATATGATGGTCGTCTTATTCTTATATTTCTTATCCGTCGATAAATTAGGTTTTCAAAATCTTCATCTTTAGATGAAGATCTTTAGATGAAGATATTGGCCGCGTTCAGTAGAACAAAGTGATCAGAGAGTGCTTAGTGATTATTGTCTGTGATTGGAGCATTCTTTTAGATTCTTCATAGACTCAGAAATATTTACCAATCAGGAGCGAGATTCAATGGAAAATCTAGTAATGTTGTCCAACTGTTAAGTTTGCTGAACGCGGCCAATATGTATTCTAAAGCCATATCTCTTTGGCGTTCAAAATTTTTGTCAACTGGACTCCAAAACCGGGATAGTCATAAATTTTTTTCTCAAATTGATGGTGCTGCAGTGTTAAACTTCGTTTAAATTTATTAAACGCCCAAAGTTTTGGGTTTAACTTTAACTGTGAGAAATCAACGTTAACCATGATTTAAGGCAGTTGTGGAACGCAATTTTTCATCTAAACTAGGGTTAATGAGTTAAACTTCGTTTACAGTAAGTTGTGGAACCGGGCTTACTGCTTACTGCCATTATAGACCACGCTTAATAGGCGTCCAATAGACATCTGTGTGCTGTCTGGGTACTGATTTGCACTTTTCAATACATAATATCGTCGTGATGTAGCTCTAATTTATTATTTTAATCTATTTTTTATTGCTTCTTAATGTATGCTGTCACCTATACCTTGTCGTTAACTTTTATTGCAATTGAAATATTAAAATCTCTTAAGTGGTTGGTTCATGCTTGCATGCCAACTGTGATTGGCCCATTTCTTACTGTTCACGCTTTCTTCTTACTGCTGTAACGTCCCACCATATTAAAATTCCCTATCTTCTCACTAAAACTCACCATACCTTTTCCTACCCAATCAAATCCTTACCTATCATCGACTAATCCAACCGCAACGCCTCCTACAAACACCTCTGCAATCAACAGGTACCTCTGCCGTCTTTTATCGTTAATATAATATAATATCATTAATACTCGAAACTATTTACTGAATCATCATCTATCTTCTTCTTTCTCTCTCTTCCTTTACCTTCTTGCTTCGTTTAGTAAGCGATAGATTATCAAACAACTAAATAACACAAAAATAATCATAAATAGCATATTTTGAAATAAAATTAACATTAACATAGCACTGAAGCAGACATCGACATAGTAAATATATAAAATAGGAAAAGAGAGAATAAGAAAATTTAAGAAATAAATTTAGAGCTAGCTTATAAATTCATTTGTCTCGGGGACTAAGAACGATTTCGTTCGGGCACAGCCGCGCACATATTGGAATGTGTTTATGTTATAAATATCATCGAGTGATAGCTGTCCCACGTACTGCGAACTAAACAAAGACCTGAAACAAAGAGGACTCGAAGAGGAAAATAATTTTCTTTCTTTCTTCTATTTTTCTTCTTTTTAAATGATATTAAATAATTGCCATCATATTTCGCAAATAATTCCTCAAATATTATTGTCAAACCGCCTATCCTAATGTATATGCGCTTTAGAATTGTAAGAGGATCTATTTGTATTATTTAACTTTAATGATTACTACGCCCGAATGAAATAATTCTTTTAAGTTTCCAAATTCTTATATTATACCAAAGGAAATCAATAACAACATTTCCATTTCTTAGTAAAACATAATTTTATTAATAAATCAGCCAACAACGAGACAACTGAATTACCAAACGCTACATATGATTAAATATAATTTTAATTACTAGATAATAACATTTTTATATTTTTTAACCAATAAATAATGAAGGGTGAATTAGGAAAAGACGCTCAATTGATATCCATAGTGTCGGGCTTGGGTATAAAAAGGACTCGGCCCTTCGCGCGCATGCAGTCTCTCGGCAGTCTCTAAGCAATCTCTTGTTAGCCTCCAATTAGCCATCAGATAGTCTTTCGCTGAGCCTCTTAAGAGCGGCTCTTAATCAATTAGTAATTATTAAATTTAGAAAGAAGAAAAATAGAAGAAAGAAAGAAAATTATTTTCCTCTTCGAGTCCTCTTTGTTTCAGGTCTTTGTTTAGTTCGCAGTACGTGGGACAGCTATCACTCGATGATATTTATAACATAAACACATTCCAATATGTGCGCGGCTGTGCCCGAACGAAATCGTTCTTAGTCCCCGAGACAAATGAATTTATAAGCTAGCTCTAAATTTATTTCTTAAATTTTCTTATTCTCTCTTTTCCTATTTTATATATTTACTATGTCGATGTCTGCTTCAGTCCTATGTTAATGTTAATTTTATTTCAAAATATGCTATTTATGATTATTTTTGTGTTATTTAGTTGTTTGATAATCTATCGCTTACTAAACGAAGCAAGAAAGTAGAAGGAAGAGAGAGAAAGAAGAAGATAGATGATGATTCAGTAAATAGTTTCGAGTATTAATGATATTATATTATATTAACGATAAAAGACGGCAGAGGTACCTGTTGATTGCAGAGGTGTTTGTAGGAGGCGTTGCAGTTGGATTAGTCGATGATAGGTAAGGATTTGATTGGGTAGGAAAAGGTATGGTGAGTTTTGGAGAGAAGATAGGGAATTTTAATATGGTGGGACGTTACACTGCTTACGGCCATTGTAGATCACGCTTAAGAATTTCTATTTATGAACTGAGACTACTCAACGACTAAATCTTTTCTAGGTATAATCCCATTGTATTGTACTTTTATATTGTAATTTATTATTTTAATTGGCATCTCAATAGCTTTTCAACATGTATTGTCTACATCTTATCTTGTCATAAATTTCATTGTAGTAGAAATGTCTCAATTTTCTACATCTTACATTACATATAAGACACGAGACATCTTGAAAAGCGATTGAGAGGTAAATTTAAATAATAAATTGGAACTATATCACAACGACATTATGCTTAAAAAAGCACGAGTCGCTGTGTAACCTCAGCCTTCAGATAAAAATTCATACACATTTTGATTGCTATGAAATTAATGACAAAGTGCAAAAGACATCATACATTGGGAAACGACTAAAGGGTAAACTAAAATAATAAATTAGAGCTTTATCACAACAATATTATACATAGAAAAGTATGAGTTTATACAATTAACGAGAACTTAGGAAAAAATTGTTTGGAATTGAGAAATTTCTACTGCAATGAAATTTATGACAATAGGAAACAACAGATGTTGAGAAACTATTGAAAGGCCAAATAAAATATTAAATTAGAACTAAATCACAATGATCCCAGACAGCACACGGATGTCCATTGGACGTCCGTTATATGTTCATTTTTTTACAAAAGACGTCCATAGGACGTACGTTTGTCACAACTTCGGACATAGGACGTCCGATGAACGTACATCGAACGTCCTACAGGTCCGATGTCCAATAAGGACATCCTTGTTACGTCCAATTTATGTCCACGGACGTAAATCGGACATACGGACATAAATTGGACGTGAAACGTACATCCATCGGATGTCCGGTGCTGTCTGGGCATATTCCCACACAGCATAAAATTTTCCAGAGATGTTCTGGTGATATTCTTAGGATGTTGAATGGCCTTAAAATACTTTCGGGATGTCCTTAGGAAATCTGTCTAGGTTATATTTTATATTATCGAATAGAGCATTATATCACTGATGTTATGTTATTGTTAATGTGTTAATAGATTTTCAGTAGGTATATGATTTTCTTTTTCAATATGTATTCAATTCATAACTTACAAAAGTCTAAAATTTACAGTCAAACATATATGTTTGACTGTAAATTTGTTACTCATTACATTCAAACTTTTTATTTATTAAAAACACTAAGTTTATATATTTCCTACTATTAAAATTATGAACAAAAATACAAATATAACTTTTCTATTACTCACCTGAAGGAAATATTTCTTTGCTACACATTTCCAACATGTTTCAATAATGCCGTCAGACATAGCTTCCTGAAGTTTAATTTTATGATGTTCTTGTCTTGTGACGTCATAAAACTAAACTAATCTCTATAGGCTGTTTCAAAATTTACTGCCAGTACTGAAAATATATAGTTTGTATCACGCAAATTATAACTTTTCAGCGCTGGCAGTAAATTTTGGAACATGGCCTTCGTCTAGCTTTTCGGTAGCCCACGATATATCGCAACATACTCCTTCTTGGTATTTTTTATTCAATAGTCCTCTGTGACCCTTGCTGGAAAACGGCCTCTGATTGGCGAGGTACTTTGCCAATCGGTTTCTCGTACACAGCCATCACGTGACTTAGGCGCTTGGAATGCACCACAGTAGATTCGTAATGGAAGTTTACTTGAGATATCTCTCTAATCAACAGCATACATTTCATGTTCTACGATTTCCGCTCGCATCCATCTTTCTTTGCGATCAGACAAGGCGTGTGGATTGTTGGATAGATTTGCGTTTGATGCATAAGAAGTTTTAGAAAGTTGCAGAATGGTAAGAAATTTAGATTATTTGTGCATATATATATTATAATCGAGCTGTTGTGCTATATTTTTTCGTGTATTCGACGTTCGCTTGTGAATATTTTGTTGTAAAAGTACCGTTGGACGATGAGAGAAATATGGTTTGAGCCTTACACGTGGATACTTCCGATATCGTGAATATTCTATAATATAATTTTAGCTTTATCATATTACACAATCCTTGCATTTAACTTAAATTTCTCATTTATCATAAAAATCCATCCAATTCGCCGGGATTTCACGTTTTATTAATACTGAATATATTGCAGTTATTTTTGAGGAAATGTATCTGTTTTTTTTTTACAGTTATATTTAGTTGCGCTATTTGTTAATGTGAAGTTACATACTTTTCATGGAAACGAATAAAATAAAACAAAAATTATAAAATTGTTTAGAAAACTATAAAAAATAAAGCCATTTAACAGCTAATAATTTGTTTTCTTAGTCTTTATCAACAGCACGGCCACTTATAACAGTATATACCGATAAGAATGAAGCATCAGGTGATGCAATTTCTTTACCATCTGTATTTAAAGCTCCAATACGACCTGATGTCGTAAACTTTGTTCATCAACAAATATCTAAAAATAGCAGGCAACCATATTGTGTGTCAAAAGAAGCTGGTAGGTAATTCATAACATATATAATTTTAGATTGCAAATTCTTATATGATATTTAAATAATACTTAATAAGATTGAAAAATTATTTTTGCAAAGTATTTGCTACTTATTGTTATCTTCTTATTACTTAAGAAGTAACAAATTGTAATTTTTATTCTTTTTCAAGTTGTAAAAGTTCTTTTTTATGATTGCTGCTGCATATAAAATATTTTGATGTTTATTCTATGTACATATATTTTATATGTGCAATGCAATAATAAGAATAATGATTATATTTGTTACCATTGCCTAAAAAAATATATTATTGTAATTTCTAAGAAAAGAATATAACTTTTTCCTGAAAAAAAGTAACTTATAATAGTAACAGTGTTACAAGTAACATTACTTTCTGATTTTATATAACAATATATTTTAATCATGATGATAATAATTTGGTCCGTGTTTCTGAATAAACACTGATTAATTCTTATAACCATATAACTGATACATTATTTATTGTAATTTCATGTGGCTATTTGTAAGATATATCAAACAAAATCAAGTATATTTTCTATTTCCTAGGGCATCAAACCTCTGCTGAATCATGGGGTACTGGACGTGCTGTAGCACGTATACCTCGTGTGCGTGGAGGTGGTACTCATCGTTCTGGACAGGGTGCTTTTGGAAACATGTGTAGAGGTGGACGTATGTTTGCACCTACTAAGCCATGGAGACGTTGGCATCGTCGTATAAATGTTAACCAGAAGCGCTATGCTCTCGTCTCAGCCATTGCTGCTTCAGGCGTACCTGCCCTTGTTCAATCTAAAGGTATATCTTTTGCAAATACCTTTATATACTTGGTCTTGGATATTTCATATTATAAATTGTATTATAAATATCTTTTGATTCATGTTACAAATTTGTTAATAATTCCTGTTTCATTTCCAGTAACATGACAATTTGTAATAATTTATATATCCTTTGTAAACATGATAAATATTTTATACTATGTGTGTACACACACACACACACACTCATACATACATATACAGGGTGTCCCATTTTAAAAAACACCTTGATAATTCTTCAACGAAGCATTTATAGCAAAAATGTTTTGGACAAAAGTTGTATGCTTTCAAGGGGGACATGAAACAACTATACTATTTTGTTTACAAATAGCACCACTTTTGAAATATTCACTGATCATTACTATTCTTAAATGGAAACTCCAATTTTTTATTACACCTCTCTTTTATTACACCTTTTTATTACACCTCTTTTTCTACCAATTAATTTAAACAACTTTTGTCTGAAACATTTTTTATTTGCCCAATATTTTTTTAGATATTTAAGGAAAACTTGATAACTTTTTCAATATTTAATTCACGATATCTTGCTAACTATTTGTTGGAAGAAAAAGTGGTATTAGATTTTTCTGCTCTATTTAATCTCAAGAATATATTGTTATAATAGTACCCTGACTTTCTGAACTTATTGACTTTTGAAAATTTCAAGATCATCAAATTAACAAAAGTCAGGTCACTATTGTAACAATATATTCTTGAGACCAAGTAAAGCTATTCATCAGAAAAAAAGTCTAGTACTACTTTTTCCGACGAATAGAGCTATCGTGAGTTAAATATTAAAAAAGTTATTAAATTTTCCTTAAATATTTCAAAAAATATTAGGTAAATAAAAAAATGTTTCAGACAAAAGTTGTTTAAATTAATTGATGAAAAAAGGCTAATAAATTGGGATTTCCATTTAAGAAAAGTAATAATCAGTGAATATCTCGAAAGTGGTGCCATTTGTAAACAAAATAGTATAGTTGTTTCATGTCCTCATTGAAATCATACAACTTTTGTCTGAAACATTTTTGCTGTAAATGCTTTGTTGAAGAATTATCGAGGTGTATTTTTTAAAATGGTACATTCTGTGTATATATATATATATATATATATATATATAAATTTTTTTTTACAGGGCATATGATCCAGGAAGTTCCAGAATTTCCCTTGGTTGTTTCTAATAAGATCGAAACATATAATAAAACTAAACAAGCTGTTATTTTCTTGAGACGTATTAAAGTATGGAATGACATCCAAAAGGTAAATTAATGACAAGTTTATGTTGTTAATATGTGCACTAATATTCCTAACTAGATATTCCTAACAGATGCTAAAGGAAGATTATATTCAGATTTTCTTGCCTAAATAATTTTTATTAAAAAGGAATATGAATTATAAAACAGTTTCAATAATAAACATAAGATTTAATTTTAAACTTAAATTGTCTATATTGTAAAATATATAATATATTATTTGCTTTAGGTATATAAGTCGCAAAGATTTCGTGCAGGAAAAGGTAAAATGCGCAATCGTCGACGTATTCAGCGACGTGGGCCATTAATTGTTTATGGAAAGGATGAGGTAAATAATTCTTTTCACAAAGTAAGAATTGTGTAAAATCATTTCTTTGTATGATTATCTTGTTCGTAGGGATTGTGCAAAGCATTTCGCAACATCCCTGGAGTCGATTTGATGAATATTAACAAGATGAACCTTTTGAAAATGGCACCCGGTGGTCATGTTGGGCGTTTTGTTATCTGGACGAAATCGGCATTTGAACAATTGGACGCTCTTTACGGTACTTGGCGCAAGGAATCACAACTTAAAAAAGGATATAATTTGCCATTCCCCAAGATGGCAAATACAGATTTATCAAGACTCCTGAAATCAGAAGAAATTCGTAAAGTTCTAAGAGCTCCAAGGTAATTATGTGAACGATTATTTTACATGATTTTATATAATATTGTAATATCCTTTTTTTTTCTCTTTAAGTAACATGTTTGAATATTAAATATGGCATGATGATATTAATTTGGTCCGTGTTGCTGAATGATAATGATTATATTTGATAACCATAGCTGATCCATTATTAATTCCGATTTCGCGAGTGGTTATTCATAAAAATATTTTACTCAAAAAAAAAAATAAAATTGTAGGAAGAAGGTGATACGCAAGGTCAAAAAATTCAATCCATTGGCTAACACTAGAGCTATGTTACGTCTTAATCCATATGTGGCAGTTTTGAAGCGTGCTGCGATCTTAACGGCACAGAAGCGTCAACATGAGAAGGATATTCTTTTGGCCAAGAAACGAGGCGTGAGTATATTTTCTTTATTACTTTAGTAATTTACTTTAGTAATTACTTTAGTAATTACCTGTGAAATATAATGTTGAATTTTAAAAGTCAAATATATAGTGTTGAATTTCAAGAATTAAATGTCAAAATTTGATCTCAATCTAATTCTACATTTTAGATTGATTTGTCAAAGGATTCACCAGCTTTGAAAACTAAAAAGCTACAGGAGAAAAGACAGAAACAACTTGTTGCTGCTAAAGCAGCTAAACCTAAGAAACTAACCACTACAAAAAAAGTTGTCCCGGCATCAATTAAAAGCGGAAAAGATACTGTAGTAGCAAAGACTGTTGCATCAAAACAGGCTAAAAAATAAACTTAATTAAACAGTCTAACTGTTGCAACAGGAAACTATACATTTTTTCTCTTATATGAATTTATAAAAGATGATATTTTAAAGTGCTTTCAAGTTGCGTAATACTAAACATAATAGTTTTATGCCATTTTTTTTACATATGGTTCTTTTATTATTAATATATTTAAAAAATTGAATGAGTGCATATGTGATGAGACAAGCTAAAACAGTCCGAGCAGAAATGTTTAGGATTTATATTAGATATGTTTATATTAGATATCTTTTAACAATGAGTATTAAATTGCTGGAAAAGGTAGAATAATATTGCGAGCAAAGCAGTTTTGAATCTCACGCATGATGCTATTATGTTTTCACTGCTAAAAGATTGGAAAACATCAAAATATTTCATTAGACTGCATTATTCACCTTTCCAAAATCGTTTTCGTGTACTCATCTGCTAATGTTTTATGCATAAATAAAATTTAAAATATATTTATATATATGTATGTGTATGTGTATATATATATACACACACACATGCAGGATATCACTTGGTTACTCGAAAATCAAGTGAAAACTTAAGTCGAAACGAATATAAAGGTTCCGTACCATTTTGTGAAATTCGTAGTAATTTTAGAGAAATTAATGTTAAAAGATGAAAAGAAATCCGAGCGACAGAAGAGGAGCAGTCGTAGCACAGTCCAGTTTACCTAATTGTCTCGCTCGCGCGGCGAGAGAAGACCGCGCCGCTGCTCGTCTTCAGTCATGGTTTAATTTCCATCGTAGTCGTCAATTTGATTCTACTTCGGTGCAGGATCCGATGACATATATAACTAGACCAAGCATTCGACCAGCTTGTAGACGAAGGGGTGAAGCCAGAAGTTGGCAGTTTATGACATTGGGTCTGTTCTTTTTAGCTGCACTGCTGAATTGGTGCAATAAGTTAAAGTGAGAAAAAATATAGTTGTTTCATTCTAACTTATTGCACTAGTTCAGCAGTGCAGCTAAAAAGAACAGACTAAATGAAAACGTTGCACGGTATCAAACCTTTCTCACTCTATCCTATAGAGATTGTCATAAGCAATATGGAACGATACATCACATATGTCTGTTCTGTGTTCCCTCATTTCTATTTAATGCTGGAGTATTCATTTCATCTGAGTCTCTTTATTATTCAAACCAAGCAGTGATCGCACTCTGATCGTACATCTATAATTGTGTCAGTATATCCAATCTCGTAAATATCTACAATAAAACAGTCTTTTATATTCTAGTTCTGTACAATGAAGTTAGATGCTTGTTTTTCAGCGATCTCCAATTTTACATAGACTGGCTAAACATTCTTCTGCCTCCTCACGTTTTTTCTCTTCGTTTCTGCTCTTCTTTTCATATCTTCTTTATTATATTTTTCCACTTCTTCTCAAGAAATACTTTGACACACAGTATCTACAATATAAAACATAATTATAGATATTTACCTTTCCACCCAAGCGTGGAAATGATACGTGAGATATCGTTTCAAGATATGACTTCCACTTTAAAGTCTTCTGAAAGAGATGGACGAGATGAATCATCAGCAGCAACGAATGCATAAGTCAATATGTCCCACTGCATATATTTCATTTCTCGCCTTTCGTTGTAAGTCACTGCTTTACAGGCGGAGCAGTGACTCATTCTTCTCAAATCGGGATGCGTTCCGAAAATTGCAAAAAAACGGGCACTTACTATTATGTCCGCGAGTGTACAATAAGCTATTAGTCATAATACATAAAAAATAAACCAATCAAAATCCTTCAATCTATAAATGAAGAATTCCGATTGGTTTATTTTCTTATGTTTTATAACTAATAGCTTATTGTAGAATGGCCATTAACGATGCCGACAACTGTCGTAACTACAGTAACAGAATAGCAGCCCAGTGGTGCGATTCTGTAACTCGTTATTGGAGTTAACGACAGTTTCGTTATTGTTGCGCAGCTTTTCTACGGTATACAAAAGCTGCGCAACGATAACGAAAGTGTTCTCGTTAACTCCAATAACGAGTTATAGAATCGCACCACGGGCTGTATTCCATACTCGCGTACCGATAGTTGTCGGTGTCGTTAGCAGTATTGCGCAGCTTTTTTGTTATATGAAAATCCTGCGCAATGCCGCTAACGACACCGACAACTGTCGATATGCAGGTACGGAACACAGCCCCAGTACCGCGATTCTGTAACTCGTTATTGGAGTTAACGACACTTTCGTTATCGTTGCGCAGCTTTTGTATATCGTAGAAAAGCTGCGCAACGATAACGAAAGTGTCGTTAACTCCAATAATGAGTTACAGAATCGCACCACAGGCTTTCCTTCTTCTAAAGAGTTTTATACGCAAGGTTGGCTGCGTCATTTAAACTACTATATTAACTTGAAGTGGACAGAGAGATTGAAATCTCGGGCCCAAAGTTGGAAAAAGAAGAAGACACAAACCTCGTTACCGAGCGACATCGACATAGTTAACGTCTATTTTCTCAGGGGGCGCGTCGAATTCATAAAAATTTCTGAACCTTTGCTGATGGCAGCTCTCAGGTTTCTCTCTGGTGAAATAGTGTGACAGCTGATTGTGAGATCCGCGTAATGAAATGGAACGAAAAGGGAACATTGCAACGTAAAATTGTAATGGCGAAATTGTAATGTGAACGAAAGTTGTCAAGGTATGCTATTTTATCGTGATTTATATTTATCATTACGAGTTAAATTGAGTTTATGTGAGTAACGGATGATTATTTATCGATTATTATGTTTCAAGGTTGCTCGGACAGCATTTATTAGTAGACACAACTATTGTTTAATATCATAATAATTCTCAAAAGCTCGACAAGTCTCCACTACAGCATAATGATGCATAATCGCAGGCGAAGCAACAACTTTACATATGTTAGTTCTTGCGTAAAATACATGATTTTTATGCTAAATTTCGTCTTCTGGGTAAGTTGTATTACTGCATCTATTCGTTCATATTGCATTCATATCAATACAACTTGCAGTTTGTTATTTATGACAGAATAGAATATAATAGCTATATTTGTACTATTTTCACTAGTTTGCTGAACTCTAACTATAGTAGTTTAATTATATGTATACCTATTTTCTTGACAATAAAAATACAACAAAGGTTGTAATTAAAAACAACTAATACTGGTTATAATAGCATATTATTCTATATAAATGTTTTACATAAATATTTAATACAAACATTTTTATATACTGAAAAATAATTTTCTTTTTGTCTAGTTATTTGGAGGATTGTTAATTGGTGTAGGCCTCTATGCATTTGTGGATAAGTGGCAAGCAACTGGATCGGTCAGGGTGGAGAATGTTTATGATGTAGTCCTAAATATTTCTTTAGTGATGCTGATAGCTGGTGGAGTAGTCTTTGTTGTTAGTTTCGCAGGATGTGTGGGAGCACTTCGTGAGAATACATGTCTTCTTAAATTTGTTAGTCTTATTATATATAAAAATATTTTTATAATTAGTATGAAACATTTTATTGATTGAATTGAATAATTAAATTGATTAATTGAATAATTTTTTCAGTATTCATTGTGTCTTCTAGTATTTTTCCTCTTGGAAATGGGTGTGGCAGTAGTCGGTTTTGTTTTTCCACATACATTGCAATCTCTTTTGGAAGAATCATTTACTGATAAAATAATTCAAACATATAGAGAAGATCCAGATTTACAAAATTTCATTGATTTTGGACAACAAGAAGTAAGAATTCTAGGACTTAATATTTAAAATATATTAAATTTTGAATGTATATCTGAAATTTTTTTATTACAGTTTAGATGTTGTGGCTTAAGTCAAGAAGGATATCTAGATTGGGGAAAGAATGAATATTTTAATTGTACTAGCCCTAGTGTAGAACGTTGTGGAGTACCATTCTCTTGTTGCATAAATGCTACTGATATATCTGTATGTCTATTATTTATTATATTTATATTTAGAATACAAAATGGATGATAAAATGATATCTTTATTACATTAAAAGACAAGAAAGTTCTTAAGCATATTTTATCATTAAAATAATCTTAATTTTCAGAGTGGGCTTGTGAACATAATGTGTGGCTATAAAGTCCAGATGTTACCAGTATCAGAAGCAAGCAAAAAGGTCTGGACTAGTGGATGTATTGAGATCGTACGCAGTTGGGCAGAACGTAATCTCTATACAATAGCTGGTATCGCTCTGGGTATTGCACTCAGTCAGCTTTTTGTGATCTATCTTGCAAAAACACTGGAAGGGCAGATCGAGTTGCAAAAGTCACGTTGGCATTCCTGAGCTTGACTTCAGGCCACCTACCGTTATCAGATACACTCTTTGGTTAACAGGCAGGTGGTCAGTGGCCGATCGCGCAACCAAGACACAGAGACAAATATAAATGCACGAATGGCATTACTTGTCATCTTTGCGATCTCTTTATATATACTATGCATTTTGTCTCTTATTAAGCTCGTTCTTTATTTTAAGAATTATTTTCACTTGTATGTAAACAAGGGATAAATACGTCGATTAGCTTTTATTCCTTAAAATATTAGTGGATAATATATTTGCAATTAAGCATTGATAAAAATTTATTTACGAAGGGATCGTTTATGCGAGATTGATGATTCAGAGGTACTATTGAAAATGAAAATGAGAGAATTTTACTATGAAACTCTGTAATATATGCTTTGTTGAGCATACAATTGTGTTATGTTATGCAATGTAGAACTTATAAACGAGTACGTATAAGTACCTATATTTCTCATAAAATATTTGACTTTCTCATTATTGAGTTTTAGCCTTTTATTAGATATTTATTTTTTGTCTCACAATCGGATCATTCTTGGCGACGTAATTTATTGATTAAAAATATATTAAGATCTGATATATATATATATATATTTGCGTGTACATACATATATATATATAATTTATACGCATATATATATATATATATATAATTTATATACATATACAATATATATATATATAATTTATATACATACATATACAATATATATATATATATAATTTATATACATACATATACAATTATATATATATATATATATTGGACGCATATATATATATATATATAATATATAATTATATATATATAATATATACATAATTTTTTTTATGTCGCGTGTACGTGCGTGCATACGCGCGCATATGTGTGTATATGTAGCGTGTGTAGTGTGTATGATTATATTTTTTTGTAATATATAATATTTCTAATACAGGAGTTAATTATGACATGAATATTGCTATTTTCGACACGTTAACATAAAATTATATTATTGAGTAACATAAAATAAGTAACATGCATTCATTTTATAAAAATTAAAATGTCAATATGTATGCAAAAATGTATGCAGATTTTTATATTTCATCCATTGAGATATATACATTTGATTTCGTTATAAATTAGATATTTCTTTCTATAGCTTAGAACTTAGCTGATAGTCCAGTTTTTAGTCCAAAATTTATTTGTTATTAATTCTCAAAAGTTCTCTCATTGAATATCGTCGGTTATATTTCAAATTTTATCTAGAAAAAAGTATCCAAATTACAATAAAATTAATAATTGAATTGAAAGTACATAATTTTAAGACTTCTGGCTTCCAACTCGATATATTATATTCGATCTTATATTGCGATATCAAATGCTATTTAATACAATTTATGGTGTATAAAAAGATTAATTTGTTTCAGTGCTATAAAAAACAATTGCTTAAGAGTTTTCATTTTTAATATAATCTCATATATATGACTATATTCAGAGCCAGAAAGCTCTTAAAATTAGAAATTTATAAATTTTATAAATTTGTAACTCGTGTAAACAAACCGTGAATTTATTTGTTTTATTAATTAGAATAATTAGATGTATAAAGCAAATGATAGAATTTTTTAAATTCTTTTTATGTTTAAATAATTTTATTAAGTGCACGAAGAATTTCTGTTCATGACTGTTAATTGTGTATATGTGCATGCGCGCGCATATATATAAAATATAAACAAATTTATATCCTCTATTTACATAGTAATACTTCTTATAAACTTGGATCGAAAAATTCTGAGCCATTTTTTTCCATAAGATTTAATAAAGTCATCATTTAATAAAATCATTACTAAATAAAATTTAATCAACACTGTCGTTTGAAAGGACATAGTAATTGTTTATATTATCGTATGCTCGAAACTATATGAAGGGATCTTAATAAATACAATAACATTTTATTGTATGGCGATTCGTTCGTTCACATTACCAAATACACAGATGTACATCTATCTATCTACTGATGATGCAGATTAGCTATAATTTACATAACAAATATTGCCTTATTAAGTTTCGTCGGAAAAAATGTCTCAAATATTTTCAATTCATAAAGAATAGCATCATGTACATAGGACGTGGACATGAATTAGATAACTCCCCCCTATGTACACACACACGTGCGTGCGTGCGTGATACTCTGTTTTGCATACTCAGTGATTATATAGAAAATTATTCCCATAAGTAATTATGTGGATAACGATGCACTCTATTCAACAATACTTATAGTGTTGATAATTATTAATGGTATTTGATTTACTTGTTCTGATAATATGTGTAAAGCCATATCTATATTATATGAAATTTTAAATAAGCGCACATTCATTTGTACATTTATATAGCTAAATAGCATAAGTCATGTACATGAGACAAGAAACGTCCAGTGCCAAAGTCAGAATATTGTCATAAGTAAAATAGAAGTTGGTTCATGTTTTTGAAAGATCTAAATAAATATAAATTGTGGCCATTACAAGTCAAATGTTCATATATAGTATCGTATTTTTCTGTAATATTCTAAATAACAGAATATTTCAACTGTTGCTAAAAATCTATTTTAACTAAAAATCGGATATCTCGATAAATATAAATTTGAAATTACATTGAAAGTTTTGTTATTAGTTTGGGTACGACAAAAGAATACGATATTAATAAAAAATATACAAGGTAAGTACGTAGTTCTATCATAAAATATGCAGACATCTTTTACCTTTCAAAACTGACAAAAAAGTTTGATAAACATGGGTTTGAAAATTATCATCATTTGAGATACAATCATTCGTTTGTTAAACGTCCATTCGAACGAATGTTATTTCAAGTAAGCAAACATTCGAAACATTGATGTACATCTATTAAATTGTTTTATATATTCGAATATTCATAGTAAATTTCTTATATTTCAAATATTTTTTACACAGATTACAGCAATTCTTGAATAATTTGCATTGCTGTAAAATATACTATGAATTAATATTATGATTGCATAAATGTATTATTTACAATTTCTTTATTACGTAAGGGAAAATCCGATAAATTTGTTGATAAAATTCCTTCATTTGTTTCATTTCCTATGTCAATTTCAAATTTTTGTACATTCATGTTATAACTAAAAGTAAGTGTACCTTAAAAAATGAAAGCTTTAAAATTCATGTATATTAAATCTGTTAGTTCCTCGGTGTAGAATATGTCTGCAATCTTTGTGATAGGATTTGAAATATATCTTGTATATACTAAGTAGTATTGGATTTGATTAGCACTTATTCAGAATATAGTTGTTCTTTCATTTAGAGCAAATTTGACAATAATCTGGTTAATTAATTTATTTAATGCATTTAGATGTCTCTTTGTCAATAATAAATATAAAACTAGTATATAAACTTCTAGTTTGTAATAAACAATTATTCTAAAAGAGCTGTGTTCTTATCATTATTAAATCTTATTAATTTATAATTGACATAAATCTTATTATGTCAATTATATTAGGTATACAAATGAATAATCCGAATTTTTCAGCTAAATTCAAGGTTGATTTAAAAAAAAAGTAAAACAAATTTGTCAATCAAAATATTCATCGTTATTTTCTAGAACTTTAAGCCATCTTTCAAGAAGCTGATGAATTCTATCTCGGAAAAATATTGTTTTTGGATACGATAAAGTCGTCAAGCCATTTTCGGATCTCATCTACTGATTTGAAATGCGTATCGAACAAGGCATGTTGCATCGACCAGAACAAAACGTCTGTGCAGTTGGTCCCACGACTTTTAAATTACACAAAAGTAACATGAGTTCTGGTTGTCCCCCAAGCTCCAAAGAGTTCTAGAGTTCTAGAGATATCTATTGATATCAAAAATAGTTCGGTCGATTAAGGGGGAAACCTACTTTAGGACGTTGTTTTTTAGGTGTCTTTTGGGAATTTTTTTACAAAAAACCATTCATCCGATTTTATTCAAACTTTAATACATGTTTAGATCCTTCCTTAAACTTGTAAAAAATTATTTTTTCATTACAAAATTATAAAGTTTAACCATCTTTATTTATTACTGAGTGTGTTGCCGCGCGTCCGCTCTTGTTTCATTGTGTATATTCTCACACTTGTAAAACTGATCTGAAACAGACAAGACAAGAAAAATTTTAATTTGTATACCTTTTCATCCTAAATGAACTAAGAAAATTAAAAAAATATGCAAAAATGGAGATTCTGTGCAACTTTAAAGTCAAGATACCGATTTTTACGCTAAAATTTCAGCTTTTTTATGCAAAAAATATTGTTTAAATAAGTTTTTTCTCAGTTCTTTTAGTTCATCGATAATGGTTAGGTATTAGCTAACTAAATTTTCTTGAGCGAAGTCAGTCGGTCAAATAGTTTTTTCTCTATCGTGTACACAAATTTGGAAAAACACGTTTTCGGGAAAACGCATTTAAAGTTTTAGGTGCAAAAAAGTAATAGTTATTTGCAACTTACAGTTATCTGAGGCTAATCAGCTATTCCGGCGCCACATACTAATCCCTCTTTTTGCTCGTAAAATTCATTTTGCTGCAAATGATAAGATCTACGCCTCTTTCGAGCCTCCTTGGTTGCACTATGTCGGCGACGCTCCTCCCTCGTGCTGCGCCGCGAGTCGTTAAAGTAGGCGAAATTTTTACACTCCGGGCCAATATTAATATCTAACGCAGTCATAATTTTTAAAATTGATGTATAGCCTTCATTAAAAATGCCCGCAGCGATATAAGTAGCAATTTCTATTATTTTTGCGCCGGAATTCAAATGTTTCGGCACTAAACGCCAGATAGTAGAGTTAAAAATTCCAAAAATCTGTATGTGTGTTGTGGATTATAAATCACATTGTCACTATTTGACGTACTCAGTTTTTTCACAGTAGCACCCGATTCACCTTTTTCATTCCCTTGACTACTTCGCGTAAATCTATTACCATAAAATTTTCTTTTCGATGGTCTCGACGACCGATATGTCTTTCCAATTTTTCCTTTTGGGTACATTTTAGAGAAACGTCTTTGCTAACTGAAGATCAGAGCTCTACTGAAAAGGAGCGCCTCGCATTCCAGCACTATCTCTTCCCAAGCCCCTTTGTTATCTTCGGCAGCCATTTTGGCTATACTTATACATGTATTTATGTTTGGTAAACAAATTCTCACTAATATATATTTAGAAAATATCTGCCGAGCCGCTAATCGTTATCTGAGGATCGAGAGGCGAAGACTGGACTCTCATCGCCGAGACTGTTGCCGTGCGCGTGAATACGTGCGTGACGCGCTCTCTTTTAAAGAGCTATATCTACATAACAACTTCGAATTTCGCTCTAAAACTCTAGCATTATATTTTCAAAGGTTATTACTATCGATTTATGAAAAAAAATAAAATGTAAAATTTTGACTTTGTAAAGTAGATTCCCCCTTAAAACGACCAAAACATCAACCGAAAGCACAGGGGACCAATTTCACGATTATAATTTAATCGATATGGCACTCAAAGTGCCATAACTTCTTTATCTTAAACTTTAGAGTGTCGATGCTTAAAGATAACACAGGCACACAAAAAAAGTGGTTTGTTCTTTTGATCAGATCACTATACCAAAGTATTTTGGTCCGCTGAACACGAATCCGGTGTTGAAATCGCTTCATCACTCTTCAGTTTTTGTAAAACCGCAAGAAATGCCCTAAAATTCCAAAAACCGGTCAAAATTCCATTCCATTAAAGGTCGCCGTTAGACGGAGTCCTGAAAACAGATCACAACACCATATCCTTATATATTTAAACCTACTGAAGATAAATCCAATGTCAGAATTGCTCCATCGCTCTCAAATTCTGCAAAAATAGGAAAAATGCCATAAAAATCTGATTTTTTCCAGATAAAAAAAGATGTTTTCAGTCTTCTTTTTTTCTTTTATAACGAACTCTTTTATCTTCAAATTATCTATGCAGTGGGTTCTTCTTTCTTTTTCTCTTTCGTTCTAGTATCCCTTTTCAACATCCAACAGAAATCTGCTGTCATGTTTACATCCCATCTTCCTTGATAACGATGCTCCATCTCTTTTATATCCTGGTGAAATCGTTTATCTTGTTCTTCGCTATAATCTCCACGGTTTTCAGGGAAGTAATCGAGGTGAGAGTGCAGAAAATGCAATCTCAGATTCATCAAACAACCTAACTGTTTGAAATTGTCCAACATTTCCACGACTAGATTTTCGTAATCCGCACTTTTATGATTCCCCAAGAAATTCTGAGCAATCTTTTTGAAACTGAGCCATGCTGCTTACTCAATATTATTCATTTCTGTAATAAATTTTTCATCTCGAAACATTGTACAAATTTGCGGTCCGTCGAATACACTTTCTTTTAATTTAACATCGCTGATTTCTGGGCATTTTTTTCCCAAGTATTAAAAGCATTCACCTTCTTTGTTTAAAGCCTTGACGAATTGTTTCATCAGACCAAGTTTAATGTGGAGGGAAGAAAGCAAAACATTCGAAGGATCAAACAGAAGTTCGTTTATGATGTTCTTTGACCCTGGATTAAAGTTTGTTCTCGATCGGAGCCAGACGATTTATAAGGATAATTCGGAAGTTCTGATAGCCCCCCGAAAAGTTCTATCGATTATCCTTAAGTATCGTTAGGCTCAGATCCAAAATAGAAAAGTTATAACCGCTCAAAGTTTCAATGCGCAAACATTTTTTCGGAGAATTCCATCGATTATCTTTAAGCATCGACACTCTAAAGTTTAAAATAAAAAACTCATGGCACTTTGAAATTACACAATCATGAAAGTTGACCTTCGTGCTTTTAGTTGATATTTTGGTCGCTTTAATCGACGGAACTATTTTTGATATCAGTAAAAAACTCTCTAGAACTCTTTGGGGGCAACCAGAACTCATATTATTTTTGTGTAATTTAAAAGTCGTAGGGCCTTCACAAACGTCGGAACAAGTGGTAATCAATAGGAGCGATATCTGGAATACGCCGAGTGCTGCAAGATGTTCCAGCCAAGACTCATTGTAATGTCTTTTGTCGTAGAAGCAATTTCATAGAACGTTCTCCTTTGCCATTATATAGGCGTTTTCATTCTAATTCTTGAGTCAAACGGATTAATTGGTGTTGGTAGCGGTCTGCAGTAATTATTTCATTTGGTTTTAATAGCTTATAATAAATCACGCCCTTCATATCCTACTAAATGCAGAGCAGAATCTTCTTTCCGAAATATTTTGGCTTTGCGACCGATGTTGATGGTTCGCCGGGATTTACCCATGACTTTCTGTGTTTCAGATTGTCATAGAGTATCCACTTCTCATCCCGTCAACAACAATTTTCCACAAAACTTTCTATTTATTGAGAAGAGAGACATATTGCCACTCGTTGATTTTTGTTGATTTCAGTGAGTTAATGCAGAATTCATTTTCCTTCTTTCTGAATCTTCCCCATCTTGTATAGGAGATAGTTCATTTGGAAATAGTTCGTTGCGTTATTCCTAACTGTTCTGCAAGCTCTTTTTGTGTTTGTACTGAATTCTCAGCGAGCAGTTGCTCCAAATCATTGTTGCCGCACTTCCAACCATCCTCCAAGACGTTCTTTATCGCTCAGACGGAAAACGCCGCTTTTAAACCTAATCAAATCAAGTCTAAATCAAAATACATACACATCGTACGATACAACACCTTCCCCGAATAAGGAACAAATCGATTTGCATGCTCTTGTATTTTTTCCTTGTTGGTATTCGTAAAGAATGCAGTATCGGATATGCACCTTATCTGTTGCCATTTTTGACTGCACTGAACTGAATAACTTTTGAAGTTACGTTGAGCCTTCCGCCATACTAAATGTAATTTTTAATGGTTATATGTCAACACTACATAACCGTAAAAAGCGAGAAAATTTGATTATTTGAAACTTAAGTTTTCAGCTGCTTAAAAAAGTTTGGATTATTTATTTATATACCTAATATATAATGCTTCACAAGTCACAAATAGTATAAAAAACCCGCTAGATGCATTTAATACAATAATTCAGTGGATAATCAAATGTTATTATACATTTCTATTATATATTTTTAGATTTTCACATATTAAAAGTACATATTTCGCATATTAAAAGTACATATCAATAAATCTTGAATACTTACTAAATGGTAATTATACTAAATGTACTAAATATGATTCCAGTAATATAGTGTGTAATTATAGCAAATAATTGTACAGTAATGATCTTTATTATAATAGAATAAAATGTGATATACAGAAGACACACACACACAATTTATATACATATATATAAATATATGTTGTGTATATAAGTAAATTTATTTATATAATGATGTTTCTATAGGTACATTATCAGAATACTCCAAAACAACTCGCTGTCCATCAACAATAGTAGAGTTTTCAAATAATTTTGCTAAAGATATATCCATTTCATTACATATTAGAGCTCCATTAGAATGATGGTAGAGTTGTAATTTATTCATAGGAGTTGTATTATTATTATTGGGTACTTTAAGTATGTCAGCCATTGAATCTATACATTTGCCAATTGTCCACTGCATGTTAACAAAGATACCTTTGGAAGTACCTATATGTTTATTTTTTATTGTAAGTGGTAAATATACATGGAAATAACATCTCTCAGTCATTGGTATATTTTTTGAACCAATTGCAGATCCTTTCACACGCATAAGTTGTACCTGCAAATAAAGAGGTGACTATAAGTTTACATTGCTATTTTTTAGTTTATTATAATTTTTGTATATATCATAATAGTACTTTATTTGCCATTGCAGTATTTTTGGATTTATTTAAATTATCTGTAATCTGTTGATCTACTAAAGCCTTTGCTTCTGCAAACTGTTTCTTTGGAATTTGCCATTTTTTCAATTTTTTAGTTTCCTCCATTTTGTTCAATGACTCGAAGCATTCATGATATCTATGTGTCAAACAGAAATGTTGTTTGCACTTGATACAAGACATCTGTATTAGTGATACTTCTTTGCAAGATTCTTTAGAGCAAAGGAAATTTAATGGCTTTTCCAAATTTGGCTCTAGATTCTTTGTTTTTGGACACTTGTGCAATATTGTGTGAAAATGTTCTTTACAAAATGTAGCTTGACAGTGCTTGCATATAAATGGCAAAAAGTCCAATAACTGACAGCCTTTCATTGAACAATATTTCCCAGTTTCTGGAAACTCCATGTTAATATAATAATGAGATATGAAGAATGTAGAATCAAATCTGTTATTTCTTCTAATATTGAGGAAATTAGTAAACAGAAGATGCTCAATTGTGCAAAGGTGTTGGAGAATGCAGATGGTTGTCACTAAGGGTACCCAAAGCCAAATTATTCCATCTTTGTTCTAATTCCTTCAACGTCATATGAGAATCACCATTATCACTCTCAGGATCTGGTAATTCAGCTATCGGTGTTGAAATATCATCAATAGGTAGTCGTTCTTTGCGCCAACCTTCATCGATTAAGTCTATCAGTCTGCCGTCTCCGCACATTTGACTGTCCATGTCGTAAATGATATTCAACTTTTAAATTTAAGAAAATATTTTCATACTTACAAACTACTTCAATAATTTAATGAATTTTATAATGTTTAAATCTGTTGAGAAATATTAATCATGAAGAATTATATCTTCTTTCTTTTTTTTCTTTCTTTCTATAGCTAGCTCTGGGGGAAGCGGATATCTCCGTACGCTATTCTTTGACTGTGTTCCAATATTCACTGCCAGTACTGAAAATCTATCTATAATATACGTGACACAAATTATGTATTTTCACTATTGGCAATGAATTTTGGAACACAGCCTTTGACTTACTGATATCAGAGAGAAACCTAAGAGCGGCCACCGGACCGATTACGCTGGAACGCTTTTTCCGCCGAATTGCGTTGCGCCCCCTGAGAAAATGTATGCACACTACATTCGTCCTGACGGTAACGGCAAAGCGTGCACGGTTCTTGCTCACTTACTTCCTTACGGAAGATAGTAAGTTAGAAAAGTACAGACGATCAATCGCTCTCCGTCTTTGTCGCACCACCGATGAGCGAGAGCGCGGCAAGAGGAGGCACGAGGCAAGTCAGCGGCAAATCTTATCGCTAAGCTAGAATCTCTCCCGTCTTGGAACATTTTACAAATTTGTAAAATCGATCATAAGTGTCGTTTTATGGAAATCTCTTTTATTTTAACGTACGTGAAAAAAAAAGATTAATATACCATTGTTTTCATTTCTGACATCAAACAAGAATCACAGAAGTCACAGAAAGTTCCCAAGATCTGCAATATTTCAAAGAATAAAATGATATCTTAAAAAGACAACGTTTCCCATACAGCACAGCACCGTTGCAACAACATTGCAGCAACGTTGTTTTACAAGATTGCAACATTACAGAAACGATGCGAAATGTTGCTGCAATGTTGCTGTAATGTTGCAGCAAAGGTAAAATGTCCGCTTGCAGTAATATTGCAATGAAATATTGCAATAACATTGCAGTGTAACATTGTAGCAACATTTGTAATATAATTTGTATGCAATAATGCTTTATATATATATATATATATGTATGTATGTATATACAGGGTGTCCCATTTTAAAGGACTCAAATATCTCAAAAACAGTGCGTTAAATCGAAAAATGTTTCAGACAAAAGTTGTTTGGTTTGAAGGGGGACATAAGACAGCGATAGCATTTTGTTTATAGATGGCGCCACTTTCGAGATATTCACTAATCATCAATTTTCTTAAATAGAAATCCCAATCTTTTATTATATCACCTTTTTCGACCAACTAATTTGAACAACTTTTGTCTGAAATATTTTTTTATTTGCTTAATATTTTTTGAGATATTTAAGAAAAACTTGATAATTTTTTCACCATTTAACTTACGATATCTCGCTAACTATTCGTCGAAAGAGAAAATTACTTTTTTATTTTATTTACTATCAAGAACATATTACTATAATAATGCCCTAACTTTTGTTAACTTATCGACCTTTGGAAATTTCAAAATTATTAAATTAACAAAAGTTAGGGTACTATTATAGTAATATATTCTTGATAGTAAATAAAGTAAAAAAGTCTAATACTATTTCTTCTTTCGATGAATAATTAGCGAGATATCGTAAGTTAAATGTTGAAAAAGTTACCAAGTTTTCCTTAAATATCTCAAAAAATATTAAGTAAATAAAAAAATATTTCAGACAAAAGTTGTTCAAATTGGTTAGTAGAAAAAGATGATATAATAAGAGATTGGGATTTCTATTTAAGAAAATTGATGATCAGTGAATATTTCGAAAATGACGCTATCTATAAACAAAATGCTGTCACTATCTTATGTCCCTCTTCAAGCCAAACAACTTTTGTCTGAAACATTTTTCGATTTAACGCAGTGTTTTTGAGATATTTGAGTACGTCCTTTAAAATGGGATACCCTGTATATATTGAGAATTTCCTGGAAAGTTTTTATTTAATGACGGCAGAAGCGAAAAATCGTATTCCAAAAATTGTTTTTGTTATATAGATACATTCTAGAAGATGATATTTGTGATCGATCTAACAAATTTATAAAATATTCTGGACACACTTTCCTCTTGTTGTGACAATCAATAATTTTCCATAAAAATTATGTAACAATAATCATGAGAGATAATATGTTCAACTCAACATTTGTATAAATTTCACTAATTATTTATAGTGAATGATTATCATACAGCAAAAGAAAAGTGTTCAGAACATTTTACACATTTGTAAAATCGATCATAAGTGTCGTTTTATGGAAATCTCTTATTTTAACGTACATGAAAAAAAAAGATTAATATACCATTATTTTCATTTCTGACATCAAACAAGAATCACAGAAGTCACAGAAAGTTCCCAAGATCTGCAATATTTCAAAGAATAAAATGATATCTTAAAAAGACACCGTTCTATTGACTCAATAGAACGTCAATAAGATGTCACCTTGCTATTTGGAATAATACAGGTCTTAAAGACTTGCGGTAACTATTCTTGAATTAATAAGACGTATAAGTTTGGGATATGAAACTAATAATCATTGTAAAACCAAATCGTAGTGATTAAGGCCCAGTTCCACAAAATTGAAATAAGTTGGATGCTATGACATCTAGTAGAGAACAATATATCTGTTTCGTATGAAGTAAACACTAACCAACATTAACATTTGCTGTATTTGTATATAAGTATTAATTTATTAAAAGGTGGAAGTCCAATGTTAATAATAATCAATTAGTTTATATTATTGATTTGATTGCATTTATCATATAATAATTGACTTTTATATATAGTTTTATACTCTGTTTTAGAATATAATCTATCGAAGCAAGAAACCCAATATTTTAAATTAAATTTATATACTTACTGTTCTGTTTTATGAGAAATTTCATACTCGATTTCTGCTAGAACTGCAATAACAGATTCTTTTGATCATCTAAATCGTGCATGAAAATCAACATTATCAAATTCTTCCAAATATGATGGTCGTCTTATTCTTATATTTCTTGTCCGTCGATAAATTAGGTTTTCAAAATCTTCATCTTTAGATGAAGATAATATGTATTCTAAAGCCATATCTGTTTGGTGTTCAAACGTTCAAAATTTTTGTCAACTGAACTCCAAAACCGGGATAGTCATAAATTTGTTCTCAAATTGATGGTACTGCAGTGTTAAACTTCGTTTAAATTCATTAAATGCCCAAAATTTTGGGTTTAACTTTAACTGTGAGAAATCAACGTTAACCATGGTTTAAGACAGTTGTGGAACGCAATTTTTCGTCTAAACTAGGGTTAACGAGTTAAACGAGTTAAACGAGAGAAACGAAAACATCCTCTTCCATTTAGCGATATCTCGTATAATTTTTTAATAATAACCGCAATTTGAAATGTTGCTACAACATTGCAGATATATAATAATGCAAAATATTGTTTTTGCAATGCCTCTGCAATATTGCACTGCAATGTGCAATGTTGCAACATTGCAGCAATATTGCTGCAATTGTCTGTGCTGTATGGGACGATACATCATGCGTCTCCAGACGTGTTAAATTGTTTATTATACGGAAGACTTTGATACAGTAACATTCGAAGATTTAATATTTAATACGTACTTTTATTTTTCCTGCTTCTCCCCTCTCCTCCCCCCGCTCTTTTTAGACTACCGGACATAGTCTGGTATAGAGATGGCAACTGTAGTTGCAGCACGGATATAAACCGCTTGAAAATGGATGTAGCACACAACTTCCACCACATGCAGATTTTACCACCGAGACCTGAAAGTGGATGTAGCATCCCCTCTCAAAATGGATGCAGATGGCGTCCTTTCCCAGTGCGGAAAGTCGGTGTCGCAGAAAATGTCGTGTTGGCTGCTTTCAGGTTTCTCTCTGCTTTAACTTATTGCACCAGTTCAGTAGTGCAGCTAAAAAGAACAGACCAGATGTGTGCAACAGTTCATACACACTTCGTCAGAGGGCGTTTCGGAAAATATATCTCTTACAAATCTTACGGAATAGACACTATAAAGGCTCGTCTACAATAGCTACAATAGTAAGAGTAAGGCTGTAAGGCTGTAACGTAAGCTGTCAGCGAATGAAAATATTTCATTTCGTGTCTTGCAATCTTAAGCTAAGACTCCATGCATGCGGTGAGCTGCGGCAAATGCTGCGGTGACCAATCAGGAGGGAGGCGCAAGTCCGGTTGCGGCAAGCTCCGGCATGCGTCTGTCTCCTGATTGGTCACCGCAGCCGTTTGCCGGAGCTCACCGCATGCATGGAGTCTTAGCTTTACAGTCTTACTCTAAAGGCTCGTCTACATTAGCTGTAAGAATAAGGCTGTAAGGTTGCAAGACACGAAATGAAATATTTTCATTCGCTGACAGCTTACGTTACAGCCTTACAGCCTTACTCTTATGGCTAATGTAGACGAGCCTTGAGGCTTTTCTCTGCTTTTGGCTCTTGTAGACTTTTAAGAACAAACTTTTGATTAGTGAACAGCTTTGTTCCATAATAGAAGGATTGTCAAACAGTTAAAAATCAGTCAAAAATAGTTTTGCATTGCAATTATATATATCATATAAATAGAAAATTGTCTGGAAATTTTCGAAAAATATAATGTCATCGATTCAAGACAGTAAGCTTATTTTATGCTATGCCCTTATTTAGATTAAGATTTTAGACTATTTTGTTGTATAATTGTAGTTGTACAGTTATTATGCTATGTTATGTTGATAGGTTATATTTATATATACTATCTGGCTTGATAAGAGACAAATACTTAATAAAATATACAGACAGTAAGGTAACATGTTATAGCAAAATATAGTGTTTATATGTTATACATCTTAATAAAACATATAAATACTTGCTATTATACAATAAATAATAAAAATAACAAATTATAGTAAACAGTGGTACAAAGTTATACAAATTTGTAGAAAAAAATAAGTAACAAATATCTGTATTCTATTTTTTTTATTAGTTATTACATACAATTATATGTATGTATATCATGTATATCATGTATATTTGGTACAAAATTGAGTTATTGACAAAATATAAATAAAAACTTTTCCTAATAGCTTTTAAGTAGATAGCTTATAATAGCTTATAGAATATAAGTTTATAATAGCTAATAGAAGTAATATATTTTACTGTAGTTTTTAGACAGTTGTATGCATATATACATGTGTAAGATTAAAATAAGGAAAAAGAATTCACTATCATTTATTTTTTTATTTAATTATTTAAATAGTAAAGTCATTATTTGACCCAATACAAATTTTAGGATTAAAACTAAGACGTGTCTCTTCCTCTGAAGCATGGAGCATACGAGAACAATTATGTCTTGCGTCAAGTGTACTGAAATCTGGGGATCAAAATTGGATAAGTGTATCTAGATCATTAAAACCATTTGTTGAAAAAGAATCGCCAAGGCCATTAGATTGGTTTTCTCAGAGGTCATGTGCTAGTCAGTATACATATTTACTTGAGAATGCTGACATGCCAAGAAGAAAGAAACGGGAGAATGGAGAAACCACTAGTGAATTCATAGTTAGAAGATTGACACAGGAGAGAATATCTGAATTGAATCAAATTCTTGGCTTTCAAAAGGATGAATATCTAAGACACAAAGCAGACATGAATTTACTAAAATCTGGTATGATTATTAATGAAAAATTGGAAAAGATGTGGCTAGATATACAGAAGGAAGAACATGAGGAACAGAAAGTGCGAACTCAATCAGTATGGATAGCAAAACGACAACAAAAGCAACAGGAGATAAACTTACCCACTATTTCCTCGGTTATTGGAAACCAATGTAAAATCGTGGAAAACACAGTAGTAGAAACGCAAGAATCTCCGACAGAATCTTTGGCAGAAGACGATGAGAAAAAAAACCGAGGTGGTAGATCACCACTATTGACAAGTTTGTTGAAATCTCCAAGTCCAACCACACAGACGCAGACCACCACATCCACATTCGTTCAATCGAACTCACCGACTATCACTAGCCTACTCGGGTCTAGTTCTAAAATAATGAATACACAACTGACACAAAATGTGTCGCCACAGTTACAACAATTGGTTTCAACCGCAATAGCCAGCACGACTAAGGCAACATTGGAGCGACCGTCTGTTGGGGCACCCACACTTTCAATGCTGCTGGAAATGCCAGCTAGTTCACAAAGAGGATCTCTACCAAATCTGCAAGCAGTTTCCACTGCAACGATTATTACATCTCAATCGACGCAACAAGTAACTGTGGCCACCACTGACGTGCACAACTTTCCGCAAACGCAACAAGCACAAAACGTCCATCATCAAATGCCCATTCAGGACGTAGAAGCGACCCCGACAATATTGCCAAATACGATACCGACTACTAACAACCAGACTACTAACAATATACCAATTTCGGAAAATATGGTACAGATAATTGACCATATAGATGATGTTATACGTAAGGATATAATGACAGATGTAATGGATAAAGATGAGATAAACGAAATTATTGGCGATATCGAAGAACTAATTAAGGAAGAAATTACCGCACATAGTCCGCAGACACTTCAAGACACGAGCGGCAGCTCAACATCGACAACGGCGACAGTGATTGATACCTTAACTGTACAAACATCGCCACAAGTGGCGGAAATTCCGGTAGTGGTAACTATGGAGCCACGTCCAGAACCGAGAGACGTGGATGAAACCATATCGCTATCTAATTCGCCGCAAAGCGAAATGGCAATCGAAGAAATCGATTCTAGTACGTCTAATATCGCTGAAATAATCGGCACTGTTGCTATAGAGCCACAGGAACCAAAAATTATTATTACTGAAGTAACAGAAACCATGTCGAATACGCTAGAGGAAACGAAATCCGAAATAAGCACTTGTGATGAAAGGATTATCTTAACTGAAGAATTTGTTCCAGAGCAAGAAAGTAGTGATGGAGAAAATGATAAAGAAGATATAGTGGGAGAGAAACATCTGAGTGTAGAAAACAAATTCTTAAACACCACGTTAAACGTGGTAGAAAGAGAAGAGAATGAACAAGATGAACTTCTGGACTCGAAGAAGATGATAGAAGAAGCTGTGAACGTAAAGAAGGAAGAAAAAGTAGAAGAGGAAAATGAACGTGAAGACGAAGAAATGGAAATGATCATCCCTAATGACAAAAACGCTAACGAATCCACCAAAGAACGAAAGGAAATTTTGAAAGATATTGAAAGTAAAAATAACGTTGGGTTAGATCAATTAGAAATGCATCTGGCAAAAATTACAGGAGATCAGCAAGATGTATTGTCTACAGAGGTTACCAACATGTCATCGGAGATTACAAATGACTTGCCCAATACTGAAGACACCGAAAAATCACAAGATATTAGTTTGATTCTGGAGGACGACGAGGAAAGAGAAAGTAGTCGAAATTCTGAAAGCAAGAAGAAAACGACACTGGAGCAAATAATCGAAAACACGATTAAGAGTACAACTGAATCTTTAGAATCATTCAAGGAAGAAATAGTTGTTTCAATAAAAAAAGAAGAAATTATTGTAGAGGTGAGAGAGGAGTCCTCTGTGAAATCACAGGAAGAGAAGACCGTCGAAGGAACTTTGCAAGTATATACAGAAGAATTTAAAAAAGAAGAGGAAGAAATAGTAAAAGATTCTTTGAAAAATAGTAGTTCTATCTTACAAGACATAAAAATAAAGGAGAAAGAAATAGAGCAAGTTGATGGAATTGGGGATGTCACCATTAATACAATAACAATTGAAAATATCCAGAGCATCAAGAGTGAACCAACCGTAGCAGTTAATATAGAGAACGTAAGTGTTAAGAAAACCGAGAGTATGGAAGTTAAATTGGAAGAACCTAAAACGGAAAGAGAAGTAAAAATACCTATCGATGTACTACAAGAAGAAGATAGGAATGAGAATGTAGAAGTGAAGGAAGAAAAGAAAGAGAAAGAAGATACTAAAAAGGGCACAGATGAGCAAAACGTGAAGAAAGAAATAGAATCTGAGATGACGAGTGCTGGAGAAGATACCGGAGAATTAGACGAGGAGGAGTCGTCATTAAGCAAATTGAGTAGCGGTCGAGCGATGAAGACATACTCAAAGAGACAGCAAAACATTGCTGTAGACAGTGAACCGGAGAATGAAGGTACGGGTGAAGGAGCGGATTATCGTGCCTGGAAAAAGGCGGTTATGCTTGTTTATAATCGATTAGCTACGCACAAATACGCGTCAATATTTTTACGGCCAATTACGGAGGATCAAGCTCCTGGTTATCATACGGTGATCTTTCGACCAATGGATCTATCGACTATTAAGAAAAACATCGATAATGGTACAATTAGGTCGACTATGCATTTTCAGCGGGATGTCATGCTCATGTTCCAAAATGCCATTATGTATAATAAACACGATACGTTTGTTTACAAAATGGCAGTATCAATGCAGGAGGAATGTTTACAACATATGCAGGTAAAGAGAATATGCAATATGTTAATTATAGCGTACAATATATCAATTACAATATTTTCGTTTTTTATATATTTTTGTAGTTACGAAATAGTAAATGTTTTTATCATATATAGTAAAGTAACATTAAATATTTCAAGGCTACATATTATTTTATCTGTTTATTTTAGATACTAGTACAAGTAACGGGGGAAGGGACATTTCGAAGGGAGACCAGAACTGCTACTGCAAGCAGTAGCAGCGAGACGAGTGAGAATAACATCAAAAGAAAACGTAGTCACATAACACCAAGTCCTCATGACACTGATAGTTTGCGGTCGAAAAAACGTAGAAAATCTGAGAATGATTAGATCGTATTGATGACTGATTTATCTGGAATAAAAATTTAGAAGCTTGTGAGAACTTCTAGGAAATAAGGAATATGATATGAGCGATTATAACTATATTATTTATATTGAGAAAGCATATTGAATAAAATCAATTGTAAAACTATTGCAGTTATAATAGCTGTGATATTTATAAAGTAAATTTTATTGTTTAAATTTTAATTCTAGTGAAGAACATCGGAATATTCTTTACTAGTAAAAAGTTAAATGTTAGACATTAATGAAAGATAAATATGACATTAATGAAAAATAAATATTACAGAACCTTCTTTTTTATTTTAACTTTCATCATCTTGAAATATTTTAACAATCTAAATAAAACTGAATTTCATTGTTAAAGAGGATTATAATTTTTCTACCTTACAAATATATATCAGGTTGGCCAGAAAATTTTTTGAATTGCCTTACTTGGCGCGTTTACATTCAAAACAAATCATGAGAGAAAAGGGAAAAGGTAATTATTTTGAATTCACCTAACTTCGCTGCATGAACTGTTGCATGAACGCAGAGCACTTATGAGCTATTGTGAGTTTACAAAAAATGGAGTTTTCAAAGCAACAAATTTTATTATATAAATTTAAAAGAATCACGAATGTATCTCATAAGGGGAAGGCCAGAAAAAGGAACGCCATTTCTGCATGAAATTTACACCAAATTGTAGGATTCGATGAACAATTTTCAAAACACCCGGTTTTGGGTGTTTTCAGACAGTATATTTAGAGAAAATTTCATTTTTATTTGTGCCCAAGCATGTGATCAGTATTGAGGCATTTGTAGCGAATATTAGCGCAAGTGTAAGTTGACCGAGTGACAACGCGCATGAGATTCATGTTCGACTCCCGATGGTACTTGATAATTTCTTTTTGTTTTTCATAATTCTTGCATTCGATGTATAGAACGGGTTATCTTTTTTGTTCATTGACAGAATAAATTTATTGTTTTAGAAAGAGGGCCCACCACCACCCCTGTCGTACTTAATCAAAATATACGACAGACCTCTTTTTTTATATATGATCATATAGACGAATAATTTTATAACGCTTTTTTTCTTTATTTTTATGCGATCTTACGGGTACAAATCTTTGGATGGTATTTATCGTAGTAGCATGCAAATGTTCATGGTGCCGCAAGGTATATAGCCAAATTCTCAAGGCTCAAGGCTTACTACACCTATTGTGTTCCCGGCCTTAAGTATTAGAAAATCCTTATTTCGAGCTATTGCGAGTACAGCGATTCCGTTATGATTAGCGTACGCGTGCTTCCAGTTATTTCGAAGAAGAAAGGAAAGAATAGTAATTCTGAACAGCGATCCACAGTGTTTGTTGCTGCAGAAAACGGGAAGCACATTGTCTGTGTCTATTAATGATAATACTCATACAGCACAGATCATTGCAACAACATTGCAGCAACGTTGCAACGTTGCAAATTGTAATACAATATTACAAAGACATTGCAGAGATTCGCAAAATACTTTGTAGCAACATAACATTAATATTTTCGAGACATTGCAGAGGCATTGCAAATCGGAATTCCATAATTTTTAATACGCTCATTGGATATTATACGCATCGCGTGTTGCATCGTGCATCGCGCTGGCTGCGAAAGCCATTGGTTGCGTCCCGATCATATTCACTACGCAATGAATATCGGAACTCAGGCTATTATAGCGTAGCTGCGTGCGTCATTGCACCTGCGCTCTTTAATCTGACGCGAGCGTAGGCAACCAGGATTCAGAATTGGCCGCTTGACAGCTAAGCGCGTACGAGAGCGGAGAGATTCGTTCATTTACAACCGTCGCAAAAGATAGACGTCCTGCACGTTTCCTTCGTGTTAACTGTGATTTGCCTAGTCAGCTTACTATACATATAGTTAAATAAGTATTTATCTAATAATAGGAGTTTACTGTGTGATTTCCGGACACGAAGATTATCCCGACAACCAAACTGTTTCTAATAATTAACCTAGCCTCTCTTATGAAAAAAAATCCTCAATTTTGGGTGTTAACATTCAAAAAACTCTTAAAGTTGTTCAAATTAATTGGTGAAATTAATTGGTTCCTCAAGGTCATCCCAAGGTCAAATTTATAGCATTAGTAAATAGATTCTTTGAAGCTCTACAACTTTTATTTGAAACATTTTGCTCCAGAATGTTGTGTTTACGGAAAAATCGGGTGATCCGGGTGGTCTGAAACATCCGGTACATCGAAAAAACATTCAACTTGGATTTCGGGTCATCAATTGAAGATTACATCCAAATGAGGGTTAACGTTCAACGAAAACCCTCAAAATAACACCCAAGAAAACTCTCAAAATAACACCCAAATAAAACCCTGAAAAGGAAACCCTAAAATTAAATGCACCCACATTTTGCAATAGACGGCAATATACACAAATGAAAGCATATGTTCGTGAAATCTTAGTTTATTTTTTGTTTTCACGTAAGAACTTAAAAATAAGCCATTGGTCAAATAAATAAATAGGCTAAATATACTTTCATTTAATTGTATCATATTCATTTTGATGTTCGTTTTCAGTGTAATTGTAGAGTTAACCATCAAATGTAATACTCGAATGAAGATATATATACACTCATTGCGCAAATAGTAAACATTAGGTATTAAATACATATGTTTAATGTTCTACTTAGAAACTACGACATTAAACATATATGTTATGTATTTAATACCTAACGTTTTTATTATTTGCATAGTGAGTATATATATATCTTTATTTGAGTATTACATTCAGTTGATGGAACACCATCAAAATGTGTAACGGTCAAATGAAAGTATATTTAGCCTATTTAGTTATTCAATTAATACCTCATTTACAAGTTGTTAAATAAGAATACAATGAATAAACAAGGGTTTCACGAAAACATACTTTCATTTGTATATATTGTCGTCCATTGCAAACTTGAAATATTCTGAAAAATGAAGAATAAAAAACTAATTACTCAACATTATATTTTATTCAAAATATAGGTTTCTTAACCACTGACACTATTGCATCATTGACGCTCTAACCGACACATACTATTAAATATCTACATCAAACTAACACTGAATATTAATGGTCATACTTAACCGATATCCAATACTGATGCCCAATGCTTAACCACTCAATATTTAGTGTCTACACCAATAATACACCGAATATTGATGGTTACATCCAACCGACATCCAATATTGAGTGTCTACACCAAAATAATAACGAATATTGATGGTTATACCCAATTGACACTCAATATTGAGAATCTACATCAAAGTTACACCGAAAATTTGATAGTCACACCCAACCGACACTCAACATTGATACTCAACACTCAACTAACACCGAATGTTGACAGTTAACACTCAACTTTCATGGTAAACACCCAAATTTCAGTGTTTACATCCAAAATTGAGGATTCTTTTTCATAAGAGGTACTACATGATGTGACACGATATGACCAAAGCTTTTTTTTATTTTTTAATGAATGTTACATATTGTTTAAAATGTATGTTATTAAAGAGTGTACTACACAATGTGACACGATATGACACGACCAAATATTTTTCTTATTAATGAGTTTTACATATTTAAAATGTATCTTATTAAAGTGTATATTACACCATGTGACACGATATGACACGACCAAAGATTGCTTTTTTATGAACGAATTTTATTAGTTAAAATGTATGTTTTTATATATACAGGGTGGGTGATTATAAGTTGCCAACCCGAAATGTGAAGGTAGATTGGGTTAAGATAAACATAAAAGCCCCATACCGTTTAATACCGCAATAATTATCGAGTTATTAATGACAGAAATCTGAGGAATGGGAGCGCGCCGACATAGATGATTGGAGAAGCGTTGCAGCTGCTTAGGCCGCAGCGCAGCCCAGTTGATCCAGAAACTGTTGCCGGTGCACGGCGAGGGAAAAGACAATGCGCTGCTATTCGTTGTTTTATCTCGCCGGACCTACGTCTCGCCGCACGCCGCCAACAGTTGCTAGGTCGAGTGGGCCGCGCTGTGGCCTGAGTAGCTACAACGCTTCTCCAATCATCTATGTCGGCGCGCTCCCATTCCTCAGATTTCTGTCATTAATAACTCGATAATTATTGCGAATCTCGCAAAACGGTATGGGACTTTTATATTTATCTTAACCCAATCTACCTTCACATTTCGGGTTGGCAACTTATAATTAACCACCCTGTATATATTTATATAAATAAAGTTTATATATATATATACATATATATATACAGGGTGTTTGATAGCTGATCATGCAGACGAAAGTTGGAGATAGATTGGGTGTAGCCGAGAAGAAAAGTCATGTACCATAATGTCAAATTGGCAATAGTTACTGAGTTATTAATTAAAACATGTGAGCCAACGAGCGCGTAGAGAGCGGAGGGCAGCCGTAGTAAGCACATAGACATTTGATACAGGCGGAGTCAGCGAGTTGCGGTGTAGGCAAGCGCGCGCGGCGAGGGGCAACGTAAGCGACAAGAGGCGATCGCGCGCGACGAGGAGCGAGCGAGCGAGCTTTTTCTTTATAGCTTTTTCCTTATACGAGGGTGGTCCGATAAGTACTTAGCCTACAAAAGAAAAACGAAAATTTTGGAAAAGTGGCGATTTATTTCTCAACATAGTCTCCTTTTAGCTCGATACACTTGACCCAGCGATGCTCCAACTTCTTTAACCCGTCTGAAAAATACGTTTTCTCGAGGTCTGCAAAGTAGGCCTCCGTGGCGGCGATGACCTCCTCACTCGACTCAAATTTCTGCCCTTTTGCCCTGTGACTTTTTCAAGTTTGGAAACAAAAAGAAGTCGCACGGGGCCAAATCTGGAGAATACGGTGGATAGGGCAGCAGTTCGTAGCCCAATTCGACCAATTTGACCGTGGTGAGGGCGGAGGTGTGAGCCGGTGCGTTGTCATGGTGGAAGAGCACTTTTTTCTTCGCCAAATGGGGCTGTTTTTTCTGCAATTCGGCGTCGAATCGGCCCAATAATTCGGCATAGTACAGCCCTGTGACCGTTTTGCCCTTCTCCAGGTAGTCGATGTAGATCACACCTTGTGAATCCCAGAAAACGGTGGCCATCACCTTTCCGGCCGATAGG